TTAGAGTAGTATATTATTATATCCCATGTAATTAGTATATTAGTATATCGCTATTAACCTACTTCGCGTTGAATTTTCATCGATGTTAAGCCTAACAAAAATTTTTTAAAATAATAATCGTCGCAATTGTATCGTTAAAAATTAGAAAATTAAGCCTCGTTTAAATACTGGCTCCCTTTCATGGACGAATGAGTGTTGCCAGCTTAAAACACGTAAAAATAATATTAAAGTAGCCAAGACATAGCCAATATATTGTATCGCCACATCACTAGCGGACATTTGAAACTTGCCGACTAGGACGGTCGGTTAACCGAGGTGTCGGTTAATCGGGGGTCGGATAATCGAGGCTCTACTGTATTACAATCTCGAAAACGAACTAGAAATCTCCCAGGCTACGGACATAACACCCGTCTTCTCTTAAATGCATTAAAGACGATTCCACCCACATGAATTGAATCAGAATAGGCATTCTCGGTAGCAGGACTTTTCATTAGTTAAATAAGAACCAGATCGAGTGATTGGAGTTATTAATATGATATTGGAAGTTGCAGAACGTATTAAATTACTTGAAAAAATGAAAAATAATTATATTATTTGATTTCAAAATATTTTGTATATCTTAAAAATAATTAATTTTATTAAGGGACAAGAAAAAGACCGGGAAATGAGAAACCCTAATTTTAAGTAAAATTTATAAACATTTTGTCTCGGGACTTAAAATACATTCACGAAAATGAGAGAACGAAGGCAGAAAAGGACAAAAACGTCGTTTGAATGTCTGACCCGAACCATCAAAACTAACATATTTAAAACTTTTTCAGGTAGAACAACATTTGAATATTATAGTAGAAATAAATTATTATATTACAATTAATTTAAATGCTAAGATAATAATTCTAATGTAATAATAACGGCGACGAAATCACATAATATGCAAATAATACAAGGTAATTGCAATTAAAGACCCCTATTACATAGATATTTGGTGCGGTGGCATTCGAACACGTGGAAGAATTATCGTAAAAAATAACAAATTAGTTAATCACCAAACATATGCCGTAAATCCATCGGGCTAGTTTTAAGGCTAATTACTAAATAAATTACGTAATCAATTTGGTACTAGAGGTAAGCGTTAGGCGCCATCTCTTATTAATATTAATAATTATAAATAATTTTTAATTAATTTAAATAATTTGGAACCGCTGGGAGAAAAAATCGGCCCGGAGCGGGACTCGAACCCACAACTCCTGCTTACCGTGCAGATGCGTTGCCAGTTACGCTATCCGGACCTCCGATCCGATCTCCTCTTCCAGCGTATAACTATGTAACCATCGACGGTTATTACAATGCCGGCTGGGGACACATTCAGTGCCCACGTCCTACTCCTATAAGGCACTCAACCGGCCATCGCAAGCCCCGGCAAGGCGTAATATATATAATCATCGCTAAACCCGATGTAATATAGCTAATCACCAAACATATGCCGTAAATCCATCGGGCTAGTTTTAAGGCTAATTACTAAATAAATTACGTAATTAATTTGGCACTAATTTTTTTTCTCCCAGCGGTTCTAAATTATTTAAATTAATTAATTTATTTATAATTATTAATATTAATAAGAGATGGCGCCTAACGCTTACCTCTAGTGCCAAATTAATTACGTAATTTATTTAGTAATTAGCCTTAAAACTAGCCCGATGGATTTACGGCATATGTTTGGTAATTAGCTATATTACATCGGGTTTAGCGATGTTTATATAACAAATTAGTACCAATTTCGCCACTATGGTAAATTTAATGCTGCAGTTCATGTGATTTTTTATTTATTCACAAAGTATTCTAGAGAATTTTCTATGGAAATTTTTGTGTGTAAACATTTTTAAGGGGCAAATCACACAATGTAGTGGGTAGCCCTTATACTTAATTTTAGGAGAGGAAAATAAAATATTAAATAAATTCATAACTAGAACGAGAAGTGAAAAGTTTTCCACGTGTATGACAGATCTTCGTTAAAATTCCACAATTAAGTAGTGACGTTAACAGCTGAGTAATTACGGGTGGTCGAATTTAAAGAGAAAAAACACAAAATAAATATATTTTTAATTGTAATAAATTTTCGATAATTTCATATTTTTTCCTTAAATTATACACAGGAATGCGATTTAAAAATACGATTATCGCCATACTCATAAGGGAGACTTCTTCTTTCGGCAGACTCCGATGTTTATTTTAAAATATATTTTAATTTGTATACATTCGGGAAAAATTAAAAACTATAGGTCAAATCGTTTTTTGTTGATAAACAATAATATAAACACAAAAATCGGGTTAATGGATGCACGGGAACTAAAAAATTGGGTAAAACACGCGTTCCCATCGCATAAATTCGTTTATTTATAAGTAAATTTCGATTTTTATACAGCATTTAAGCCTCTAAATAAAATTAAATAATAGTAATTAAAATGATTAGAACAAATTTTACTTAACAAAATAAATTCAGTTATAAAGTTTAATATAGAAGAATCATGGATTTCCTATCGGTTTCCTATACATTAATTCGGAAAGTCTCAAATACTATCCGGCTTGTTTGCCAGAATTGCCCAGGGTACAAATGCGGTTCAAGTATCAAAATAAAGCTCTTGCCGTGTATTCGAGTCCATTGCAATCACAAATGAAAAATTCACAATCGTTTGGGCGTAGCGGAGAAGCAAAGATACAATGTTAAGTCTATGGAAGAAACTTGTCGGACACTCGAGCTTCATCTAGGGATTTAGTTTATTTTAATTATTAGAACAACCCGTTGCTCATTCCTATTCCGAATTACTGCTTTATTGCTAATTAAAAGAAACATATTCCTCATTCACGGTACGAGTATTTTTTTTTACTGTTTATATAGCGTGGTATCCTTTACGAAGCTTATAAGTGTGCATTTTATCTGCAGATATTTCCACCTGATTTTATTCAAGCGAAATGTGATGTAAATAGTTTAAAATAAGCTTCAAAATGAAGAATACAATCTGACATTGGGAATAATGCGTTAAATTTCACAAGTTATAATACTTATATTAAGTGAAAAGAACTGTTAATACAGTAGTAGTATTTTGCGATTCTGTGTTGCGTATGTATATTTTTTGACTTTTTCCTACGATTTATATATGCTAGGCTTGTAAACTTCTTGTTAAATCGGATAAAGATACGGCTTTTCTGTTATATGGCCCTCTTTTCCTTTCCGTTTCCGCGTTAGAGGTGCCTGGGATCTGAAATAAGGGTCTAGAAAAGATGTAAGTGACTCATGAGCCCCAGTTAGACCACCACAGATATATAAAGTTATCTTTAACTTGGTTTAATTTTTATTGAAAATTGTTTTGGCAGCCTTCACAAGTAGAAAGATTCTGTTAGAAACTTGCAAAAGTTGGTCTAATCTAATAAAAGTTATCCTGGCTTTTCTTCCGGATTTCATGAGTAAAAAGTTACTCTTATATTCATTCATTCACTCTTTTTCAATACCTACTATCATCAGAAATTTGCAAGGAAAGCAAGCAGTTTAAATAGTCTTTCGACGGGATAAATTTGCAGCAACTAAATTCAGTTCTCCTGCTGGTATTCTGAGATGCATCCAACAAGTTCTCTCTGGTTCTTCATCTTACGTGTGGTCTGGATCAATTGGAATAGGAAGACGTTATATTATACTTTTTACAAGTCTCTTCTATGGCATTCTGCTTACGTGCCCAAACTAATGTAACTATTATCTCTCAATTTGAAGAAGCAGTGGCCACGTATTAAGACTTTTTCAATGTTTATGTTGTAAACTCTGTTAAGCCTCTTAACACCGGTAAACGTCTGACAAATCTCATCTCTGCTGTCTCTATCTGGAAATCACAGTTTTTCAGCATTATCCAATATTCATGCCCATAGGTGAGAATTGGGACATAGAATGAGTCGAAGAATGACAACTTTTGTCTTCCTCTCTAGCTTTTTTTGAATACTATTGATCTATTTAACTCTCATAATATCTTTTCTTGAGTGTTGCTTTTTCATTACTCATGAATGCAATCCCAAAATATTTAAACTTTATCTGCCTCAAAGTAGTTCCATTTAGTTGGAGAGTAATTGAATAGGATTTCTTGAGTATCAATCATCCAGTCTTTGGCATACTTATTTTCATCACAGGATCAGTGTAAACCTATGAAGTGCTACCTGAAGATGAATGCAAGTGACTGAGCAAAACCAGATTATCAGCGAGAAGTAGTTGACCTATCATATAGTCTCCAAAACAACACTCTTCACACCTCACACTTTCAATCCAGTCAATGCTGTTCAAATAATAAACAGCAGTGGTGACAATGTACTCAACTAAAGGCAAACGATTGCTGGATTAAAAGGGACAATATTACTACTATTATTAATAATTACATACTGAGTAATTTGGCACTTGAAGTAGGCGTTAGACATCATGTCATTAAATTTAACAAAGAGATGCACTTATGCCTACATTTACTGAACAAATTATTCAATATTTAATTATTAATATTAGCGGAAATATAGAAGAAACTGGAAATCGTTTGTGTTTAATACAATTATCAGTCTTTGAGATGTTCATAATGTGTACTAACCAAAGAGCTTTGACTAAACACAGTTTATACAAACTGAAAACTCTGAGCATGCATACAGAGTTTTAACGGCTATTAAAAGCTGGGCGTAAGCTGTGAGAAGTCTGCAATACTTCATGGAAATTATCTCAAGGAACATGGCAATAAAACTTTTTTGCATACTCCCAGCATTTTTTGAAGATTTGGTTTGTTGTGCTTCTGCTAGATCAAAAATCTCACCACTCATTCTGAAATGAAGCCTCAACTATACTTCTGCATCTCTTAGCATAGACTTTTTCAGGAAAATGAGCAGTGATGTCTCAATAGTTACAGCAGTCACTCTTCTCTCCTTTCTTAATGATAGGGATTATAACTCCAGTCTGCCATTGCTTTGGTGTCTTTTTAGAAACCCATGCCTACTTGACAAATACAAATTAATTAAGTTCAGAATTCAAGGCTTTTAACATTTTAGGTTGAATTTCATCATCACATGCTGCCTTATTGAATTTAAGCAATTTGATTGCATTTCTATTTCCATCATGATAAGGCCATTCTCCATCTCAAAAAGCATTCTGCTCATGTCTGTCACTCCAGCATCCACTGGGTTTAGATCATTAAAGTACTCTTTCTTACCTGTTGATAATGTCCTCCTCCCCAGTCACACACTTTTTTCAGTTAGTAGTATTCCCTCTCCTCTCATGAAGACAACATATAGCTTGCCATAGTCTAATGCAAGTTTTCTGCCAAACAATTCTCAGACTTTCTCCTTTAACGATTTGCAGCTTTTCATATAAACTTTGCTATGCTAAGTAGTTTGTTGACTGTAAAGCTTTTTGAACTTCTTGGTTCTGCTAAGGATTTCTGTGTAGTGCTACACCCTAATGTTTCTGTCCACAACAAGATCACCGATGTGATAATTGTTGTTCTGAACGGTTTCCACTCCGTATCAACATCAGATTGCTCCTCGGAAATTGCTCGATACCTAGAAGAAATATCATTTCTGAAAACCTTCCTCAATGATTTATTTTACAAAGCTTTCCACTTTTTATGAAATAACTTTTTAGGTTTTCCAGCTAAGCAAAAGTCATTTCGTCTCTGATGTCTGAGAGTGCAAACAATTTGGCGATGATAAATTTTCAGCTCTGCTTCTCTCTTCGCTTAAACGTCTCACTGAATGAAAAAGATATACAGAAACAATACAAGAATCTATCATAAACCTTTCCCTGAAAGTAACTCTATGCCAGCTATACTTATCGATGTGTCTGTGCTGAAGAAAAGGTATTCACATCCTGCTCATGTTCATTTGATTTGTAGCTAACCCAAATTTTGTATATTACGGTACATCTAAATTTCACATGGCTAAGACATTGGATGGCTAAGATGTTCCAACCCAAAACTGCCTATAATAATAAAGAACTATGATGAATTCAACGTAGATTCTCTCATGACTATTTCCATGAAAGAATCTACTTTGATTTTGATCAAAGTAGAGGAGGAGGTCACAAAATGTTGAAAACATCCAGTAGTACTCAAAAGCTGGTATGATATTAACACTATCAAAATTGCTAAAGTGTTTCATCCACATATTAAAAAAATATGTGAGTATCCTTAATGCTTGGGACTCAATAAACGTACACAACAGTTGAACCTTACATTTACAACAGTCAAATGTAATATGATAATATGTAAGTAAATGCTTTATAATATTTATTTATTAAAAGTTCTCAATACTTATTTCAAATTATTTTCAAAATTTAAATAAATTAAAAAAATAAGCAAAAATTACCTTCCATCAGTTCTGCTAGGAATGGAATGGATTCTGGTAATAAAATCAGATAATTCTCTCCTAATTTCTGAACTAATTCATGCAAAGTGGCAAATCTCACCTACAATAACAAAAATTTATATTATTTTAAATCCTTATATTTTCCATTAACTATTTGCAATGTTACTTACTTTGGGAGAATTATGAGGAGACTTCAACATTATTTGATAGTTGACAGGTTTCCAGAGAGTGTCATCGGCTAGAGCCACGGCAAACTGAGCTATACAAGGGCTTACGTAAATGATTATTCTATCTTGATAGTCTTCGTCACTTCCGATATCATTTTCTATCTATAAAATTATAATATGTAATTTAAACAATTTTTTCATATTATTAATGATGTTTCTAACAATCTATTTTTATTTAATTAAAAATTTATTACTTTTCCTCCAACAGGAATATTTAAAAGTTGCATTGTAGACAAGATATCATGCACTATTCAAAAAATAAATTGGTTAATCATGTGAAAATTTGATTAAATTAATGATTATTTTGTCTTCATCACAGTCAGTTAGATTGTCAGCTTTATATATCTCTGACACTAAATTATTACCAATAAATTTAGATAATTATTTGCAAGATATTTAAATATCCGGGAATATACACAATCAAATTAAGCAAAGAAAACAACGATTTTTTTCATATGTGAGATTCGCTTACAGGTCTGTGAATCTCCGTGTCAAAGAGCACTTTGATTTAATTAGCTGATACCCCCCTAATAGCACAATATTTATGCAACGAGTCCTAGAGGAGGAGATCACAAAATGTTGGAAACATCCAGTAGTACTCAAGACATTAACACTATCAAAATTGCTAAACAGTGTTTCATTCACATATTAAAAAAATATGTGAGTATCCTTAACGAACGAATAATAGCAAAACCATTAAAATGTAGCAAATATACTAATGGTAAGTAGCGATAACCTTCCAATTTCTTATAATAGGTTTTTCATATTGAAATAACCAACTAAGTGGTTACGGCGCGCGTGACGCGCGTCGGACGCGCCTCGCAACAATACTTAAGTCGTCTATTGTTGCGTTAACAATAAATGCTTTAGTTTTGGCCATTGTCAAAGCGAATTTAGCTAATTGTCGAAGAGTTTATTCGATGCGATTTTATTTAATGCGAAATAGTTTTTTCAATATGAATACAATAAGTAAGTTTACCTTATCTTATTATTTATACTTTAATAACAATTTTATTTATTAGATGACCGCAGGTAGCTAATTTAATAAATAAAAGCACCCCATTCATTGCAATTATTAATATAACTTTTAGAAAAAAAATTAAAATATTCTCTTGTAAACTCTTTAATACATTTTTTCATTACAATGAGTTGATTGAAAGCAGAAAATGACCGACTGCCATTAATTACATTTAATAATTATAAAATTACTGTTTACAGATATTGAATGCTTTTGTATCGAAACTATTTTCCGATACGAAGATGGTTTCTACGTAACTTATGATTATAAGGTAAGTGAAATGAGAAATTTTAAAATACTATAAATATTATTCACACAACAACGAATGCAGGAATATTTAAAGGGTGTGAAGAAAGTTCTATGATTTAGCAAATAATGTCAATAGGAATTTTTAATTAATCCTGGGTTAATGACGAAAAATTCATGAAACAAAAGACAAAAATTAAACATAAGTTAGACAAAGTATTTGCCAGATACAGAAGCTTAAAATTAATTAAACCTTATCATTCTGTTAAAAATAGCGTTTAAATAGATGACTTTAATATCAAGATTACAATATTTCTTGTCGCGTGAGTGACACGTAATATTTATAAGAATTTTCAATAATTGGCTGAGATTTAGAACTAAAACCCTGTTCCTTCTTTGTTATTTGTATTAATTAAATCAGACACTAAAGAGAATAAATTATACAAGTAATATTGGATTGCTTCCATTAGAAATTAAAAATAAGTTCAATATTTGATATTTTTATAACTAATCAATTCTATGTTTAATTCTTTAGTACTAGTAGCCCGGGACGCCCCCTAGTGGGCGTTCTTTACAAATTTCCTTGAGGCACGGTTCCTTTGACTTTTTTGTTCCTATCAGCATGCTCTACAGCTCCGTTAAAGTCCCAATGGTAAGATTTACCCTCCGAATGAAGGGGTGGCAACCCCAAACTGTAGCCCCCCTGTGCGAACAATAAAGCCAAAGGAACCATATCCCTACTCGCGACCCTTCGCGAGACATAAGCCCCTGAAAATTCGCCTACGTCATTTCCGGTCATGTGACACCGTGATCAAAAGGTAGCATACCGCTCGAAAAAAAAAATAATAATAATGTGCGCTCGCGCACACTCGGGACGTCGCCGATCCGCTCATTCGCAGGGTAAATTGTGGCAAACAGGCGGTCAGGTGATCCGTAGAATAATTTTCAGAGGGCTTTATCTCGGAAAGGTTCGCGCATAGGAGTATGGTTCATTAGATATTTATTGTTCGCACAGACGGGGGTCGCCACCCCTTCATTCAGAGGGTAAATCTTATTGTCCCAATCGCGTCATACGGATCTATATTTCTACCTATTAAACATTCTACAAATACTTTAATTAAAATAGTTTAATTTGTTTATTTACCTTCGCTTGTAAACCTCGATTTTAAATGTATCCGCCATTTTTTCAACAAATTTCCCGTGAGTCAATGCGCGACGTTCACAGGATGTTGTAAACGTGCGGCGCAAGGTTAATCAAGGCATATAATAAGGCAAGGCAAGGCATATAATAATTATTTATACCATTCCGTGGTATAAATAATAAATTCATATTAATAATAAATTCCTATTACAAATAAAAATAATTTATTGTTAATTTAAAATCATCGCTAGGGCGCCTCTAGTGCCTATTTTTGGCATACCATTACGTGGACGGATACCCGTTCAATGGATTATATATACAGGTATAGATGTCCTGCCACAAGGATATGGATACAATAACATCACGAACGATGTCGTGGACATTTAACGAGAAGCGAAGTTTGGACTCAAACACCGGACGATCGCATTTAAGCGTTAGAGACCCACGTGAGTAAGCAGGATAAAGGCGCGAAATTCAACCGCCATCTTGGTGTGCTCATTTCGTTCCTCGATTTCAGTGATTTTAAGAAACTCTTTCCTGCGACTTTTGTCGACTTTACTACAGTTCCTTATTCTTTAGCTTCTGGTCTTCCTCTTTGATATCTTCTCTGCCCAGGTAGGAGCTTTCCTCTTTCTTTCAACCGGAGTGGCTTATCCTCCGGACTCGGTAATGGCGTCGCCCTCGCGCGAGCGCCTTGAAAAGCCACCATTGGGATCGGAAGCACCCATAACTTCTGACGAATTAAGGTTTATTCCTCCTCTGTCGGAATTGGAGAAACTCTTCTCCATCCGTTTGTCCCTTCCTTCGGACCAAATCTATACGATTTTTCAAGAAGGACAGGGACCTCTCCGACGTCTTCGTCCGGCTGAGCTCCACGCGCATTTCCCCCGACCGGAATTGCTGCTAGATGTCCGCTACTCCCGTAATGGTCTTCTAATGATCAAAATTCGGGATCACCAAGCCGCAGAGGCGGCTCTTCGTATTCCCGATATTGCCGGAATACCAGTGGCCGTCTGGCCCCGGACTGTGCCCAAACCGCTTATCTCCTATGTGGGGTGGACCCGTCGATTACAGTCCAAGAAATTTACGAAATACTTTCGGACTCCACCTTCCAATCCTAGAGATACGTCGTTTTATACGATGGAACGGGGATAACATCGAGCCTAGCTCCACGGTTTACTTCTCAGTGGCCAGTGCTTCCCCGCTGGAATCCGTTACTATCTATTACCAACGATACCACTGTGAGCGATATATTCCTCGCCCACGCCAATGCAGGCGATGCCTCAATTTTATGCCGAGACATGCCGCGGCCGCCGCAAATGTATTACTTGCGGGGCTGACCATGACCAGGTCACATGTACTGCCGCTGCTGCCGGCTGTGTGCGTGGCGGAGGAGAACATTCTGCGGATTCTCCCCGCTGCCCAGCCTATCAGCAAGAGGCACGCCTACTAAAATTCAGCGCCATCCAGCGCTGTTCTTATCTAGAAGCCAAGCGCTCGCAGAGCAACTCCCCAAAGTCATACGCAAGAGTAATCTCAACTTCCCCCCCAAAACCGTCCGAGAGGACCCCTCGTTGTGAAAAACAGCCAGCTCTTTCTACTATTGGACAGGCAGGAGACATTTTGACCCTAACCAATCGTATTTCCTAATTGGAATCCGTAGTGGAGAAGTTATGCGCAGAGTTAAGTCTTATTCGCTCGATCATTCAGCCTACCCCGCTCAACCCAACTCAGGGTTCCCTCCGTGAGCCGTGTCTGGACAAGGATCTGACCGTGTCCACGTCAAATAAGTTCTCTTCCCATCCGGCGGGCCCTTTGACTCCTGCCCAACTCCCAAAGGAGAAGAAAGGACCTAAACTTCGTCCCACCGATCCATTGACGGCATCCGACTCAGAAGGTCAAAATTCGGACATGGACCACACGTACTCCACGGGGTCCACAAGTGTAACTCCTATGTAAGACCCCTGCTTTTCCTACCCAGCCGAGAAGGCTAAACCTAGCCGCCACCCGCCCAATACCCCAAGCACAATGTCTAACCCCTCAAGCAACTTGCAAAATTTCCGCTTGATGCATTGGAACGCGAGAGGTCTTCGTTCTAAACGTAATCTTTTTTTGGCGGCTTCTTGGCTACGTACCGTGGATATCCTGGTTCAGGAGACGTGGCTAACTCCTGAAGTGGTCTTTTCCATTCCAGAATTCACTCTCTTCAGCCAGGATCGCACCTCTGCTCAGGGAGGGGGTCGCCTAACAGCGGTCTCTCACCGGTGGCCCACCCGCCAGCTGCCCCCTGGTCCCAAGATCTCCGGCATTGAATATCAAGAGACCTTGGTATACTTTTCACGGGCTCCTCTCTCCCTTGTTAATGTATATTCCCCACACAGCGTCCTTTCGGCTGTTTCTCTGGATCCCCTTTTGTGGGGCAGTCACCACCTTCGCATACTGTGCGGAACTGGAATGCTCATCATCCCTATTGGGATAACGAGTGCAAACGCCCATACATCGCGGGCCGCACCCTCTTCGATTGCTTCTCATCCGCGAACTTATGCTGTTGGAACTCTGGGGAACCAACTTATTTCCACTCAAACGGATCATCAGCTATAGACCTGACCTTCTGGTCCCCGGACCTATTAGGTTCCGCCTTATGGAGCCTTTGCGTGGACACCCTAACCAGTGACCACGCTCCTATTTCGATTACTCTATTAATCTCGGGCACCCCTAACCCGACGACTACCCCTCGTCTACACTTTTCAACAAACGAGTCGTTATTCAAATAACCTCAATCAGCTATGGACTACCGAGGAATTGATTCCCACTTCGTATAACGCCTTTGTAGACACTATCCGTGAGATGGTTTTCTCTAATACTATAATTTGCTCCATTCCCTCCTCGGGTCAACCACCGAGGTGGACCCCTGAATGCAGTCGCCTTAGAGCACTTAAACGTCGTGCATTCCGTCTAGCTTGCAGGCAGGCGTCTCACTCCTGGTGGGATAAATATAGACAATTAGGTGCGAAACTCCGTTGGAAGACCCGTCAGGCTCGTCGGCAGTGTTGGGGTCGTTTGTGTGCCTCTCCCCTCCCCATCCACACTCTATCGCATCTTCCGTCGACTGAGATCCCCGCTGGCGATCACGGCCACCCAACACATAATCCAAACGACAGACTACCTACTCAGTCCCATCCAGCAGGCAGAAGCCTTTGCATCCTTCTTTGGGCATACCCGCCTAAGGGGCACTTTTGCTCCCCTTGATGATCCCCGGCTGGGGGCACCAAAGTTTGACAATTCCCCCTTTCATCTCCTCGAACTCCGCTGGGCTATACACCGTCTTCGGAACACTACACCAGGCTCAGATGGCATAAGCGCATGTCTTATGGACCCTCCCGAATGTGGGTTTCTTGGCCCTCCTCAATCTCTTAAATGACCTTTGGACCCCAGGGTCCTGCCCCCCCAGACTGGACCTCTTCTACCGTTGTTCCGATCATTAAACCGGGTCGCCCAGTGACAATATGCGCCTCTTACAGACTGATCTCTTACCTCTCACATCACAAAACTATTCGAACGTCTGATCCTGTATCGAATCTATAAATGGACCTTTCATTCTGATATCTTCCACCAATACCACTTTGGCTTTCTCCCCTACCGAGGGGTAGAAGAGGCCCTTATTACGTTACACCACCGTGCAAGAAGGCACTGGGGTGTATCTAGTCGCACACGACCTAGAAGGGGCATACGACTCTGTGTGCCAAGAAGGACTCCTAGATAAATTAGAATTTTTCCGTATGGGAGGAAGACTCTTGTCTTGGCTTAAATCGTTCCTATTACATCGTTCTTTTCGCGTCTGTTGGCGCGGGGCGCTATCACCTCCTCACGCTTTTATCCAACGTGTCCCCCAGGGAAGCGTTCTAGCCTCCATTCTTTTTACATTATACATGACGAACCTTTGGATTGCTCTTCTCCCCAATGTCACTGCTGTTCTTTATGCGGACGATTTATACATTCTCACCTCTAGTACTAAGCATTCTCAAGCAGCTCGCAAAGCTCAATTAGCCCTGGACCATCTTGATCATTGGGCAGCCACATGGAGTTTATCCTTTTTTTGCCACTAAAAGTGCTTCCGTCGATTTTTCTCCAAAACTCCACCGCCCTCCACTTACTTTGTCTCTTAACTCAGGTAATATCCCTCAGCGCCCTTCTCTCTATATCCTCGGACTTCATTTTTCACATAACTTCACTTTGCACGCCCACAAGACTTTCTTAAGAACCAAAGTGACTCTTGCCGGTTCCCTCCTCAAATTTTTTGCTTCTAGTAATGGTGCCAGGAGAGCTGATCTCCTTCACTTAATCTATACCATCCTTAGTCCGATGGCGGAATTTGGCGCTCTTCTCCTGGAAGGGGCCCCCAACCACTATCCGTCGCATCGAAAAACCCATCCACGAAGCTCTTCGCACAGCCTTGGGCATGCCCAAGTCTACTCCGCTCTTATCTTTATATGCCGAGTCTGGTTATATTCCACTCCAGTCTAGGCTGCGTCAGAAGGCTATATCACACGCCATCACTCACCTCTCAAGATGCCACTATAGCCCTCTCTACAAAATTTTCAGCACAGCCTCTAGTCTAGACTACTATTGCTGGCGCCCCTTCCAGGTCCTGTATGCCTCTAGGGTTCTCTCCCTGATTCGTCAGGAAGGTCTACCCATCTCTCACCTCTACCGGCAAAAACACATACCCCTGAGCCCCGTAAACATCCAACCTAGAATTCGTCTAGACGACTTTCCAAATGCTTCCAGCCAACCTCTGGCAGCCTTGAATGCTCGTTTCAATGATCTACATTCTACCAACTGGCAGGGTTGGACTCTCATTGGGCCAGATGCCTCAAAATCATACCTACGGACGGCTTTTGGAGTAGTTCTTTCAGCCCAAATGGTCATGGAAACTTGGTCGTTACACACGAGCTGCAGCGTCTTCGGTGCGGAGGCTCTTGGCATCCAACAGGCAGTTAATCTCAGCGCCTGTCTTAACACTCCGACGGCCATCGTCTCGGATGGCAAATCAGTTCTCCAGGCAGTCGCCAACGTTGATTTTTTTTCTCCAGCGGTTATTATTGAGCTAGCTGCAACTATCAGCTCCCACCGAACACCCCTTGGTGTACCCCTGGTCACGTTGGCATTCACATAAATGAAGCGGCAGACCAAGCCGCTAGTCATGACACTCCCATCGGCTCCTGGTGGAGACCTCTCATGGCATGTGACCTCATACATCAAATGTGGGAATCGATCATCTGCAACTACACAGATACCTGGTCCACTATTCTTCGGGGAAAAGGTCGCGACCATTTCTGACTATTCGTCCCTTGGATATACCATCACGCCTCGTCTTGCCACACAGAAACCCTATTGGCTAGACTTCGAACCGATACGGCCCCTTTGAAAAACTTCCTCTATTCTTGACGCCAATGCGCCTCAACAATTGTCCCCACTGTGGCTCGCCAGAAACTTTCGTCCACTATTGGCTTGTCTGCCCGCAATACACACGGGCCCGCCAAGAGCTAGGCCGTCTCTTAACCTTGGACCTCACGATCGTCCGTACATTAACTCTGATATACTGGCCTCATACTGACCTTCCTCCTCGCCAACATATCGAAATGTTGGAGCGTTTTGTTCACCGCACCAACCGCTTTACCTAATTTCTAAGCGGAGTAATTCGGAAAAAAAGCCAACAGGTTAGAGTCTCCATATTAAGACAAGAAAGAAAGAAAGGATATGGATTATATTTTCAACATTTTCCACATCAGCAAGCTCCTACAATGCTTGCTTATCGACTTCCAAGTGAAGATGGTGTTTACGGAACGTCATCTGGAGTCGTGAATACGGCTTGCAGGCTACAGAAGGAGAATTCGATTGGTGTGTTTGCATCTGAAATGGAGGATGTTCTTCTTCACTTTCATTCATTTCTGCTTGTGACTCATACTGAAATTCAGTATGAGTGACTCATGCTGAAATTCAGCTTGTGCTTGTGACTTTTCTGCTTGTGACTCATACTGAAATCCAGTATGAATCACAAGCAGAAATGAATGAAAGTGAAGAAGAACATCCTCCATTTCAGATGCAAACACACCAATCGGATTCTTCTTCTGTAGCAGAAATGTCACTACATCCGGGGCAACCAAATATGTTGCAAAATAACCCGGAACCGGAACCTGAGACCCGGAAAGAAGTAACAAATACGGAAGCCGACGAGCTTTCCTCAATTGAAACTTTTGAAGTTTTATCTAATTCTTCAGATCCACACATTAATGGTAAATTCCGTTAAACGTATAATAATACAGTAGATAGTCGATTATCCGAATCAATTGGGGACTGTGGTTGTTCGGGGAAAAAATCGATATTTCGGATAACCGATTATGTACGAAAAAATATATTAACCTATCCCGTGTTGAAATTTTTCTCCGTTGCGTGTCGCTTCGCGTTGAATTTTCGTCGATGTTAAGCCTAACGAAGACTATTGTATCGTTAAAAATTATTTTTTTATTTTGTACAAACAAAATAAATATATTGAAAAATATAAAAACAATAAAAAATTATACTTCAGAAGTTAATTTAGTATCAAAAACGTAAAATATTTGAGTAGCCCAAGACATAGCCAAAGATTGCAGCGCCACAGCACTGGCGAAAAATTAAATTTGCCGACTGGAATTCTTTCTGATGATTGACTTTCGGATAATCGACGCTCTACTGTAATAACACTAAATCTATAGTACATAGATTTATTCTAGTTAAAATTCATGTTCAAACATATAAAATATAACTCGAATATTTTTAATTAAATCTTCAAAATATCTTTTATCAGTTTGCATTTGATCCGTTTATTTCGTATTATCTATTTGTAGCTTTACTCATTCAAATTCTTATATAACACTTGAATTCATCTGTTTACTAATGACTGTGTTTTCGGCTTTTCTTTTATACTTTAGTTTCTGATTCTGATACTGCTGTTGGTGACACAAACCAACCGTTTCCAATTAATTTCCATGATATCAGCACTGAAAATTCAGTCAAAGAAACTGATATTGTAACTGTACAACCCGGTGAACAAGAAAATATTTCTAATATTACAGAGACTATCAACAATGTAATGTGTGAGGATGACTGAGATTAAATGGAATTGTTCTCACTCGTAAGTTTAAATTTAATTACGTTGTTTGAAACTAACTTATTAATGGAATTAATAAAAACGTATTAAAAATTTACGATAATAATTCAATTTTTGTGGGCCCTTGACACTTGGGGGCCAGGGCTTAAGCCCTATTAGTTTCAATGTAGATCCGTCTCTATTCGTGATGGTCAGGGCTGGATCATCGCATAGACAAATGAGACAAATGTCTAGGGCCCAGTTTTTAGAGGGGCCTGGTCAAACGGTCTATTTTGAAAAGATTTGTAAATAAGATAGTTTACTTTTCTGTTGGACAACAGTATATAATAAACAAATAAACAAAAATATATTGCTTTTTATATGGTTATTGTGAATTCTAAAATCTAAAGAAATTGTACATGGGTTGCTCAAAAAGTACGGAAACTTTTTGAATAGTGCCTCCAGTTGGTTATTTTTTAATTCGCTTGGAGGCGTTGTGTCCGCGGAAACCTCCCGAGTAACCTCCTTCAACCCGTTTGTTGATATCTTGTTTTGGTGATTAGTTACAGCCATTTATGTGAAGTGGTGTTTGTGGGGTTTGGCGAAAAATCGAATCCGCGGAAATCAGCTCTTTGAAAGAACAGCGTTGTTCTGTGAAATTCTGTGTGGAACTCGGAAAATCCTTCACGGAAACTTCCCACGGGTGGGTGAAACAGCCCCCGTCCCCAAAAAAGCTCGACAAGTTCGCTCAAATGTTAAGGTGATGTTGACTGTTTTTTCGATGCAAAGGGGGTTGTGCATCACGAATACCTACCTACAGGCCAGACAGTCAACACGGAGTACTACCTGGTGTTATGAAACGCCTAAGAGATAAAATCAGGCGAAAACGGCCCGAACTTTGGAGGAGCGACGAGTGGTTCTTTCACCACGACAACGTGCCGGCTCATTTGTCCCTCAGAACACATGACTTTTTGGCCAAAAACAAGACCGCTGTGCTTCCCCACCCACCCTACTCACCTGAACTGGCCCCATGCGACTTTTTCCTGTTCTCCAACAAACTAAAAAACACGCAACAAAGAAAAAAGATTTGCCACCATTCCAGAGATAGAAAAAAAAAAACGATGGAGGAGTTTATGAGCATTCCGGAAAAAGCGTTCCAGGATTGTTTCAAAAAATGGAAGCACCGTTGAAATAAGTGTATATGTTGCGGAAGAGACTACTTTGAAGGGGACCCTGACAAATAAATTGTATGTGAAGTTTTTTTTTTTTTTTTTGTAATAAATAAAGTTCGGGAACTTTTTGAACAACCCTCGTATTCTTATGTTTCTTCTTATTGAAAGTAAAACTCCCAATAATTTAGAATATTCTTTATAGCGATAAGAATAATATTAACTATATGTATCCTTAAATCCTGTGAAATATAGTTAAATAATTTTGCTTTTATTTTTTATAAAACAGTTGCAGTGTCCGTAAGTAATTTAGTAGAAATAATAGTAACAAGATTTATTAATTGAAAGAGTCGGGAAGGGACCCGGAAGAAGAAAATTTCTAGGGCCCCAAAGTGGGTTAATCCGGCCCTGGTGATGGCGATCGGGTTCATTTTCTATTGCCTCTGTTTTCAATTGAACGTGTAATAAAATCTTAATTGGCATTACGTTCATTTATTATAAAACTCTTAAACATAAATTTGACTTTATTGTTTCAAGTTAATGTAATTTTGAAGAAAGATATTTTGAAATATTTTATTTCTCATAATTCTGTTCACCAGGAGGATGCTTATGTTCCATTGACTCCGAAACAAATTTCGGCAATGGAAAATGAAGATTACTGGACATTAAATCAGGACCTGATGAGTTTACATGCCCTTTCTCTTGCTTTGGGTATAATCTACGAAGAGGAGGAAGATGAATTATCAGAAGACGAGAACCCCGATTACACAAAGACAGTGTCGGGAGAAAATGCCTCTTCTTTTCATCAGTTAAATGTAGATAATGAATTGGAAGAGCAAAGTTTTGAATCTAATCTGTCAACATTCTCGATGACAGACGACATTGAAGGTGAAAATTGTGTTGGAGTTGCATGTGATCCATCTGTTATTTCATGGATTACTGAGAAGAACAATCAATAAAGATAACAGGATTTGCTGAAGGTAAGATTACAAATAAAATTATTAAATTCTCAAAATAATTTATTGAAGAATTGTTAACAAAATACAATCGCATTTAGAGATTTGTCACTCTGATGCGTTATTAGTAAATTGTGAAGTTTAGCATTAATTTTCCATGTGTTCGATGTTTATTATTCTCATAAAAATCCAAAATAAAGAATTAATTTCCGAATATTCTTTCATTTATGAAAATATTTCATATATTCAATGAAAAATGCTTGAAAATATTCACGTATATGTGTACAGAAACAAATGACAAATCACTGTGATAGCTACTGGTTTTCGACATTATTTATTTAGCGTTAAATAATTAGAATTTAATTAGAAATCAACATTTAGCATGCACCATGGTCAATCGTTATTCTTATTTACGCGGTTTTTAGTAATACGACAGCGTAGTTTCCTGTTTTCTAGCATAAGTCTGTTTTCGTCCAGTGAGAAACAAAACACGATGTCGTTCTACTACTGAAATGGGTTCTCCATTTTTAAATGTTAACTTACGGTGCATATTTGACATAAACTAAAGGGAAAATTACTTGATTCTGTATTCAGAATATTAAAGTATTTTTGTGCATACAACTCAGCAGTGTATTTCTAACCTCTGGCATATAATTAACAAAGTATTAATAGAACGGATTTTCTGAATTCAATTATACTTTTAATGGAAAAAATAGAATTTTAATTATGAAATCATTATTTTTAGAAAACAACAAGGAAACCGACAAAACACAATTCTTAAATGAATTGATGGAATGATGATTACCAATGTTTATCTGGAGACGAATTTACCTCTGAATATAGAAAAAAAGTTAGAAAATATTTTATATATTTTTTCTTAGTTTAGATTTATAATATAATTGATATCCCGTACTAAACTTTCACTCACAATCATATTCTGACGCCAAGATTTATACTTTCTATACTATGGACGAAATAATATTTCGTATGAGTAAAATCAAGTTTTAGTTTTAAACGTTAATATAGTTAAATATTTAAAGCTACGAATGTTTTAATATTGCATATTAAATTTATTAAATTATCTGTGAATTTCGTGTTGATGGCAATTCCAGATGAGAATTTGCTAATTTTTAATCGGAATTTTCAAATTTTAATTTAGATTCTTCATTTTTACCGATGAAATTTATAAAAATATTTTAATTTTTTCTAGGAAAGACGAACCTGTTGGCAGAGTTTCGTGCGGTGTCTTCGCCGACTGCCATTTTTGGTCCTTCCTTGCTGGAAACCGCCAAACTAACGCGGTTGATACTAAAAGAACCATCAAAAGATTCGAAGAAATGAATCGAATCAACACTCGAAGATATTTCGAAAAATTTTCAATTAATTTTCTTTTAAATTGATTATAAAAATTTAATTATTTTGTTCTAAAATGTTTGATTTGTTTAATCGATATAAATGAAGTTTCTAATGAAGTACAAAATTAATTGAAAGTAATCAATAAAATTGAAGTTTCGTTTACTTTATATGGGTTTTTGTTTTTTTTTTCCTCACAAAAATTTCATTATATCTCCCGTCAAGAATAATCACAAAATGATATTTATTCTGGATTACATATTTCTTCGGCTATTTTAATTAAAATCTTCTCAAAATAAGCATTTAAAAGGTTTTTAAGAAACTTTAATATTAGCATTAAAAATTGCCAAAAAGAATTGGAAAATTATTTTTTAAACTTTTGCATTCGCTTAATACTGTAAGATATTAATTAAAGTTTAATAATAATATACGTATAAAAAATGACATTGTAAAGCTATTGCTCTATAATTGATTTCTTGATGTGAACAAAAGCAATGTGTCTATATTTAAAGAACAATTACATCACACGTGATAGATCGGTGTTCATTCTACTTTTTTCACCTTCAAAATGTACACTTTGGACTAAAAGTTCGTCTCTAGTTAGAGTAAAATGCTATCACAGGAAAAAATGTTTCTGCGTTTTAAAGTGGTGGGATCCGAAGATCCCGGAAAGCACCACCCCTGGTTACTCCTACCTACTATAACCGCTGCAGTACGCGGCGAGCCGGAACGGGGATCTCGGTGATGCCCGCAGTCACAAAAATAAGCCAAAATAGGCTTTAGTAGCTTCACTATTTGGTCGGACCAAATGGATCCGACCAAATAGTGAAGCCCCTATATGCCCCCACAAGGGATAGGTGGGGACGGGAAACTACACATTTGATCTTAGCCGTAAGACCGACCAAATCGTTGCCTTACAGATTGTAAGCAACAAGCTTCTACTATTTTACATTATAAAAGGAATAAAATATATTTTTTAAAACTTAAGAGTTTACTTACAATATGTCACACAATAAATATCAACGAATGGTGTACATAAGTCAACATGTAATTAAATATTTCCAAAAATATATTCAATCTCGCGTAACATTTGTAAAACTCGTTTTCGACGATGGAAATTTAGAATTACTTTTGCGGACACGGGATCGGAGGAGTAAAAACATCCCCAGAAACTTTTCGGGGGTGGTCTGTCCGGATATGTCGGCCCAGCCGGCCACCCCAGTGTGGGCTGGCCTAACCCATAATAGGCTCGCTAAAAGAGGCCTCTTAGTGCCCGCAGGGCGGAAAGAGTTTAAAAAAAAGACCGATATAACGCATTTTATAAAAATTTTTATTTCTCTACAGTACAGAATTTAAAGAATTTTTAAAACGTGTTAGATTGGTCACTCGGTGTAATAAACTCTTACGTAATATAGTATAACCTTATAGTAAATATTTGATTTATACAAATATAATAGAAGCGTTAAATGAACAAAATAATGTAATAATCTTTGTTGTTGTTATTTTTGCCCGGGCTCATCTGTTAGTATTTGGATATTTTCATAGTAAATAATACCTAACGATAATTAATAAAAATTTAAGGGATTGGCAACCCTAAGAGTTAATAAAAAATTTAGCACGAGATTGGCAACACTGAAAGATTCCCGACGGAAGAAATTGCGTATTATATTTTGAAATAAGATAAATTTATCAAATAATAAATTTTTTGATAAAAAATTCTCACGGCAGACAATCATTTATTTTTATCTATAAATTATATTCTTAATTAGCGACTTTAAATACGCAACACGGAATCGGCATTGAAGTTAAGTTTCATAAACCAAGTTATTGTCTGTGCGAAGGCAGCTCGACACGCTTACTGGAAAATCAGGAAAAAATGTGATTTTATTTCAAAAATGGCGACATTAGACCGATTACGTTTCGATAATTTAGCAATTAGAGAATTGCCGATCGATCCCGTGGAGGAAAATTACGTCAGGAACGTTCGTAATGCTTGCTTTTCACGTGTCGAACCGACACCCGTGGAAAATCCCGTCACCGTTGCCTATTCTATTGGAGCATTTCAATTGTTAGATTTGCCGGAAAGTGAACTCCGTCGTGATGATTTTTCTCAGTATTTTTCGGGAAATAAATTGTTGAAAGGTTCGGAACCCGCTGCTCATTGTTACTGTGGGCATCAGTTCGGGTACTTTTCCGGTCAGCTGGGAGATGGTGCGGCCATGTATGTGATTTGTGATTCCTAATCTTAATTACAGGGCGCTTTCCTAGTAAAGCTGCTTTAATTAAGCTGTCAGAGGGTGCTTTAAGCAATTTCTGATTTTCCGAGAAATGGTTCTATGCTTTAATGTTGTTGTTTTGCTCTTTGTGTATGTTGTCTTGTACAAATAAAAATGTTTGGTCGGAAACCACGCGGAATTTTTGCCGACTCTGTGAAATATCGGAGACGGTCTGTCCAGATAGTTTTTTATTGCAAAAAATGCAATTACCTATATGGTAAACTACAATAGAACATGTCATTCGTCGTTACTAATAAATATGAAGGCGTTTAGAAGAATATGTGGAAAACTGCATTTCTAATTTTTCCGATAACTGGTTTAAAATAGATATTCGTATGTCGTGATCTTTGTTTGAGATACGATATGTAATATGCTTATAATTTATGGTGGCAGCTCTCTTAACTTCTGTCTTCAGTAGTTGAGAACCTTGCCGCATTGGTGCTATGGTGGCTAACTTAAGTGAAAATGGCTTAACTGTGTTTTAACGAAGCAGCTTTAAGCACCTTTACTGGGAAATGTACGCATAGTTTTGTGTTGAGATATTACAGCTAATACAAGATTATGGGGGTTCTTTTCTGTTAATGGGATGTCGGTTGTAACTTTAATCTGATGTGTGATACCGTCGTCCGTATTGCTCCACTAAGACTCACATTTTAACTATTTAGCCCACTTGACTGTTCGTGGAGTACTTGATGTTATATAGTTTTAGGGAGTGTGGAGTCTCACTCCACCCGTGTCTTGAGGTGCTCACTATCGCTTGCACTGAAGCACATGACTACATGTGAAGCATGTAGAATAGGCAATATACTGATACATGTTAAAACTGACCTTTGTAAGTGAATATCTCGCAAAGGGTCAACAATTCTGGGAGTAGTGTGAAACTCTTCATTTAGAGCTTGAATCGTAACCATTACATGTACACTGGCATCTAATTAACAGAAAAGTACCAATTATGGCAAGTTATTTTTTTTGCTATTTGTGGGCCATTTCTATATGAGCAAAAATCAAAAGAATTATGGGTGTGAAAGCAATTTGATATGTTGCATGGTAAAGCTGCAAGAAGTTTTTTAATGATTCCTCCTTCACTTTTGAATGGAGCCCACCAATGGCCAAATGGATAAGATTACTGAAAACTGGTGATGCCCAAATCTGAAATCAGTGGGCTGGCTACATGGACTTTTCTGGGTTTTCTTCACTTGACTCCTCAACGTATAGAGTATCAGAGGTCCTGGGAGGTAGATTGCTTGTTTGTTGCAGTGCCTTATCCCATGCATCCATTTTCAAAGGAAATTGTGCCAGTACTACTACTTCACTGTTACACTTATGTAAATCAAAATTTTACTAGAAATGATAAAATTTGTAACTGGTGATATTAAAATTATATTATTGGAGATAATCAGTGGCACATGAATTTTCCAATGAAAAAATTTTCAATTACTTTATGATAACCACATTTTTTCTTTGGTACTTTCAAACTTATTGCACTATTACTATAATTATTGACTTAAAGCAAACAACACTACACTGTCTTTTAATAAAGCCACTTTATGCAGTTTTACCAGGCAATGTATCCTATCAATGCTGAGTGATTTGTGAAAACTGAAACAGTATCCTGAAATGTTTAAAATTAGTTTTTTTTCTGTTTTACAAGAGGGACTAAATATTTGTATAACACGTCAAACCCTCATTAGTATCCAGTGACAGATTTAAAGTGTTAACAAACATTTTACAGCTTATTTCTGAGCCCTGCTTCAGGTTTTTGACAATCTATGAATGGAACATGTATAGAAGAATCTTAGTTGAATTCAAATTTAAATTGCTATGGTACCAATGAATTTCTGAAGGAGTCAATTGTACATTGTTACATAACAAAATAGGTTCATTATGTTGACTGGATAGTGCCTTATTCATAGTGAAGCATTGTACATTGCTTGCCATGTGTGCAATATTTGTTTTTCATCCTTATAGTTGATGCATATCCCCTTTTGTCAGCTTTAGAAATTTCTAGGGTTTCTATATCTTTACTGTGCCTAGCCATAGAAATCAATTTTGCTTGATGTAACATAGCTGCAATGTCATTAACAGAAGTGTATATGGACAAGGCAGTGGATAGTTTTCCATTATCAATATTGTATTTGTGTTATCCATTGCTTCATAGACCTATTGGTAACATAGTGGTTTAAATTTCAATTTGACCAAGGTTCTTCTATACATGTTCCTTTTATAGATTTTGAAAAACTTGAAGCAAGGCTCAGAAAGAGCCTGAAAACATTTGTTAATGCTTTAAATCTGTTACTGGACCTTAGTGAGGTTTTGAGAGGTGTTATACATTCCCATTAAGTCTAGAGGGAGGATGAAAGAACTAAATATTTGCGTGACAGGATGTGAATTACCATATTGCCAACATATTTGTTGACATATTGCTATATAGTTAGGATACATGAATAATATTACACTACAACAAACTAAACTGTTTGCTAAATTAATTTTACAAGTTTTAAGTACTTTCAGGCAACCAAGCTCATCATGACAATGGACTTGGCTGCCCAAAAGTACTTGAAAGGAATTTATTAAGGTGAACTCTACTAAAACAGATTATTGTTTGTTATACAGTGGTACCTTGGTATACGACCTTAATCCGTTCCTGATGTTTGGACTTATATCGAATTGGACGTATACCAAACCAGCCTTTCCCATAAGAAGTAATGTAAAAATGAGTAATCTGTTCTCATGTAAAAAAATTGGCAGGCTTTAAACACCTCGCTTTCCTGGCTAGTTCCTGCTTGATTTTTCATGAGATCAGCATGTATCTTTTTAGCTTTCTCGCAAATAATTGCTTCTGATATGCAATCTCCAGCACACTGTTTTTCAGTTATCCAAAGCAAAAGCAATTTTTCGACATAATCTAATGTCTTCGATCTCTGTTTAAAAATTGATTTAACCCCTTTCACAACGTTAGCAGATTTAATAATGTCTTTATTTTTCACGATTGTCAATATCGTCATTCTCGGAATACAATATGCAGCAGTTAAAATCTCGAACACACATGCCACCTTCGTATTTCTCAACAATCTCTTTTTTCAGTTTCATTGTGATTCTAGTCATTTTTTTAGTTTTCTGTTGCTTTTCATTTTCCTTTTTGCAATTCGTGATTAATAAAAATAATGAAATTTTACTTACAAATTAAAATAAGAAGAAATTTAACAAAGTTATAAACTGTGGCACCGCGAATGTCTAGTCTAGTACACCGATAGTGCTACTTGTTCATAGATGACACATATAATTGAATTAAGTCATATACCGAACAAAAGTCGTATACCGAGCAAAATTTGTTTCGTCCAAACAGGATGTATTCTAAAGCAGACGTATACCAAGGTACCACTGTATTTTTTAAAGAGCTTGGAAGTGTTAAGCTTTAATATGGAATTATAACTCATGTTTAATTTATTTGATTGACAAAATTTATAAAACAGTCTATATAAATGTATAATGAGTTATTATATAACAAATTTTAGTACTGAATAAAACTGTGTTTTATAATTTAATTTGTAAATATTGACTGAGCTAGATTGTCATTTATTATATGTATATTTCTAGGTATTTAGGAGAAGTAATCAATAGTAGAGGAGAACGATGGGAGATTCAATTAAAAGGTGCAGGTAAAACTCCTTATTCACGACAAGCTGATGGTAGGAAGGTTTTAAGATCAAGTATAAGAGAATTTTTGTGCAGTGAGGTACTACATCTATGAAATTTGTAAAATGTTTAATGGAATAATAATTCAACACCAAGAAACAAAATATGACAACTGTTCAGGAACAGAAGTTAAAACACCACTTCATGTATATGTCATATTGATAAATGATAAATAATTATAGGAAATACAGAATTTTAAACAGAAGTAGTAAGATTATGGCAATAAAATTTATTTTTAGAAAGGAATTTTGTTTGTTTAATAATGAAAATTGATTGAAAGTTTGAAAATTTGCAAATTTAAACTACAATTTCACTGAATTGTCTTATTTATTGTTAGATTATTTAGAATTGAAGAATGTTTAATATGTTTTGGTGCTGAACTGTTATTTCATGTATAAAAGATTTAAAAATTTGAGTTTGGTAATTTTGATTAAATTTAAAACTATTGATTTCAGGCTATGCATTATTTAGGAATTCCAACAACAAGAGCTGGTTCTTGTGTAACATCTGACACTAAAGTTATAAGAGACATATTCTATGATGGTCATCCAGTTTTAGAAAGATGTACAATAGTTTCAAGAATTGCTCCTACATTTCTGAGGTAATGAATACATTAATATGATATAAAAATTAATATATTTAATTTAAACTGTACATAAACAATAATAATTTTTTTAATTTTAAGGTTTGGTTCTTTTGAAATCTTTAAAACAATTGATGAATTCACTGGACGAGTAGGTCCCAGTGTTGGAAGAACAGATATTCTCATGAAAATGCTAGAATATACAATCAAAACATTTTTTCCAGAGGTTGGCTATATTCAAGTTAATTTTAAATATAAAGCTAATGAATAATAATTTAATTTTTATTGTATTTTGTAGGCATTCTTCAATTTTCAGACATTTGACATTCAGACATCTCACTCTTTTGTACATAATACTTTGATAGAACTCAAATCACTTCATACAAAAATCACATAAAGAAAATAAAGAGAATGCAACTGATTGTTGGAGTTATAAAGAGTTTAATTGAACAAAATTCATGCAAATACTTTTGACAGTGTATTAATGTTGTCCTCAGGCAAGAAAGTTCTGACATAGAACACACAAGATTTGGAAGCACTTGTGTTCCATGTCAGAACTTTATCACCTGAAGGCAACGTAAATACATTGTTGAAGGTATTTGTATGAATTTTGTTCAATTAAACTCTTTATAATGCCAAAAGACAGTTGCATTCTCTTTATTTTTTCAATACCCTCAAATTGCTTTTTTGTAGCAAAATTTGAATTTTTGTACATTTTCAGCTAACAAACAAATGTTTTGAACTTTGGATAAAAAGATTTAATTAAAATATACGTCAAAGATCATCAGAATTGCTTTAATAATTTATGCATTTTTAAAAAATATTTTGTAATAATAATTTCAGATTCATCATAATTTTGATTCTCCAGTTGAAAAGTATCAAGCATTCTTTAAAGAAGTTGTTTTAAAGACTGCAAGATTAGTTGCCGAATGGCAATGTGCTGGATTTTGTCATGGGTAAATATATTGTTTTAGCTAATTAACATAATCATGGAATTGAAAATAATTTAATTAAATTGGCATATTGATGTTTTAATATCATATATAGGATGTATCAGAATGATGTTTTAAAAGTTTAGGGGATTGTAGAGGATGAAATTTTGAATGTTTGATATAAGGAACTTATAGCCAGAAATTTGAACTAAAGTGTCTACAGCAGTAGGAAGTGCTTGACTGCCCTTCACTTTGGTAGCTACCCTTCCGTCCATTGATGTCATGTTATTGCTGCGGATGGAAGACTGTAAACACACAACTACAGTGGTCTAACTGAGCCTGTGTATAGGATGTTGTGTACTTAGTGCTTGTCGTCCTTCAGTTCACCCCTTTCATCCACTGGCACTGTGCTGTAAACACACAACTAGTCAACATATGCAACACCTGTAGGAACAGTGTTTACAGAGTGCATCTTTACAGCATTTAATACCATCAGAGGGGAGTGTGGCATCTTACAGAGGGTTGGACAAAACATGGTTTGTCGTTGTGCATTATGTAAGGAAGTTGGTAGTTGTCACATTGAACATTTACTCTAAAGTAGTGCAGCCACTAATTTAATGTACAGTTTGATTGTACTCTACTGTTTTGTCAATAAAACTTGTCATAAATACTGTGTTCTGCTGTTTCATTCAGTATACCGATCGCATAAAACGTGCAAAGTGCTGTAAAAACTTTATATCATATTTCCAGCTATAGGTTCCTTATATCAAAACGTTCAAAATTTCATCCTCTACAATCCACCAAGTTTTTAAAACGTCATTCTGATACACCCTGTATATAAAAGAAAAATAGTTATCATAGCAGTCATTGAAATTGTATGACTTATAAAATCCTGTAAATTTGTGTTTATTTTTTTAATTTAAAGTATCAATTTGCAGAAGATCTGCAAGAAACCATAAAAGATAGCATCATCCACAACATAAAGATGAGAATTCTTTTCATTGACAAAGTCTACTGCATTAATATTTCTGGTATTGTATCATTCATTGATATAAAATTCATGTTCTTTTTTAAGCAAAATGGAATATTTTCAATGGTTAATGCTGTGAGAAAAGTCCGCAATTACTACTTTGAATGCTTTATCTTCTTGTGAAATAGTGAAGAAAGTATATTGTCTATAATGTCATCAGTCAACAATATTGCATGTACAGTGGTACCTCAGGATACGAAATTAATCCGTTCCGAAACTGAGATCGTATCATGAAAATGTCGTAAGGTGGATCATCTTTTGTCATACGATTACATGTAAAACCAAATAATTCGTTCCAACGCGAAAAACATACTCAAATTAAAGCCAAGTAATACATTTAAAAAAATAACTGTAGTAAGAAAAACAAATGAAAAATGCGAACTAATGTAACGTCGTATGGTGAGTTTTTGTTCGTATCGTGGAGCAAAAATATGTTCGAATTTCATGTCGTATCCTGAAAATTTCATATGCTGGGGCGTTCGTAACCTGAGGTACCACTGTATTACAAAGGAAATGTGAACCTGATAATAATCAAATAAAAGTTGGATAAGGAAGTAAAGGTAAATAAGTCTTGTCAGAATAGAATGTTGAAGCATTTCTGCCTGCAAGAAGTTACTATTAGTTCTTCTGAAAACTGAAAGTTAAGCAGGAAAAAGCAGACAGGTCTGAAAGCAAGAGCACAAACTGTTTTATGTCTGTATGACATGGGTTTAAAAGCCCATAATCCACATAAGAGTAAAATTGAGTAAAATGCATGGACAGTGGCTTATCTGGGCTAAACAGTATGCAGAATGGAACATTGATATACTAGTAGCTCGGGACGCCCCCTAGTGGGCGTTCTTTACAAATTTCCATGAGGCATGGAAATTTGACTTTTTTGTTCCTATCAATATGCTCTACAGCTCTGTTAAAATCTGAATGGTAAGATTTACCCTCCAAATGAAGAGGTGGCGACCCCCCAAACCGTAGACCACTGTACTAACAATAAAGTCAAAGGAACCATACCCCTACTTGCGAGAGTAGGGGTATGGTTCCTATACCTTCGAGAGATATAAGCCCCTGAAATAATAAATTCCTATTACAAATATACTGAATTATTTATATTGTTATATTGACCAAATAATAATTTATTGGCCAAATGAATAATAAAAATTTATATTGTTAATTTAAATAAGAATTAAAATTGTTAATTTGAATGTTTGAAATATGACACACGATAGGGGCGCCTCTAGTGTCTGTTATCAAACGGTTACGGGACAGGCGGATAGATGGATACCTGTTGAATCGGTTATATATATAGATTAGATTTTAGATGAATCCAAATTTAACCTACATGGATTTGAGAGAAATCCCTATGTTAGAGAGGAAAAGATGAACCCTGTAACAGAAATTGTCTGGTTTGACAGTAGTTTCCTATGAATCTAATAGTATGGGGGATGCATATTCAGTAACAGTGTGTCAACAGACTACAAGTTATGAATAGGATTGTGAATAAAAGATAAGTCAAACAACTGACTATTGGTGTTTCAGAAAATATGTTTAATTCATGAGTACTTTTGACAGTATATAATTGTCTTCTTCAGGAAAAATGGCAAACAAAGTGCTAGAAATCTAGATATAGAACACTCAAATTGTTTCTTGTGCATGAGCATAGAACATAAATTACAGATATAATTACAAAAATAAGTATGATGTACAATGACCAAAACTAATAAAAATAACAGAATTAATATACAAATAAATAATTGATAACAAATTAAACAAAAACAAATACATTAGACTGCCATTGATGTTGCAATAAAACATACAATGTGACTTATGATTTTAGGTTAAATAGTGCTACCTGCAATTCTAGTATAGTATATCAAGTGTGGGAGAGTTGCATGATGATGTAATGAAAAGGGTTCATTACATCCATATGAGCAGTGTTCTCCTGTTCCCACAGCATATTAGGACCAAAATTTATTAAAGATTGAAGTTACACTTTATCACTATTTGGGCTAGTTCTGTTGTACACCTGCACTTTACCTACATTATGATGCTCTGCAAGATGGAAGCAGAGCAATCTGGCAGTGGCTCCTATATATAATAGTTTTGACCCAGTTAGTGGGTTTTGTAAGGGTTATAGAGTAAACTCCATATTTTTCAAAAAGTGTAACCTTGTCTTTATCATTGCAAAGGATCCTATGCAACATGGGCTGGGGGAGCCAGTGGCAGTATATAACCAGATTTTCTAAAAAGTTGGCAAATATGTAAGGAGGGGATGGAATGGTTTGTGGTACAAAGACTGATTCCTTACAATATAAGATGGATTACAGAAATAATGTGTTTTTGACCTGGTTGACTAAATGGTTAAACTTACTAAGAGAATATCTAGCACTGCAAACTGCCAATTTAACCAGGAAAAGCTCATCCATAAGTAATTGGTTGGAGGGGCATAAGAAAGCCCTCCATCCAACCTTGCCAGTTGTCATTACAAATTGTGATCATAGCTTAAATATGCTATTTTGTGCATATGCTTAGTATTTGTTGATATATATCATAGGTGATACAAGTTTTCTGTGGCTGCCACTATATTTCTATGTAAGACCAGGTTTAATTAAGTCAAATAATGATCAATCAGACTTGTTAGTCTAATTTGTATGCTATCTAAATTGATTAATAAATAATTTAGTAGTAGAAATAGATAAAGTTGCTTTATCTCTATGTGCTTTAAGTTTTAGCTAAAATTTTTTAAATTGAAGAATATATATATAAATATATGTTTGTGTTATTTGTTTTCATTAGCTATACTCTTAATTTATTTTCAGTGTATTAAATACAGATAACATGAGCATTATTGGGTTAACTATTGATTATGGTCCGTATGGTTTTCTGGACAGATTTAATCCTGATCATATCTGCAATGCATCAGGTAGTAAATCATTGTAATTATCTATAATTAAATAGTTTATATTTAAATTTCTATTTAATTCATAACTTTGAATTAGATGATGGAGGAAGATACACTTTTATAAAGCAGCCGGAAATATGTTTGTGGAATTTACATAAATTAGCTGAAGCTATTCAAAATGCAGTTCCATTAGCTGATACTCTTCCTTTATTAGAATTATATCAACCAGAATTTGAGAAATGTTATCTTGGAAAAATGAGAAAGAAGGTGAGAAGTTTAATTTTTTGTTATAATAGGTGAAACTTTGCAATGTAACATTCAATAAACAAAAACTGCTTGTATCTTTTCATCAAGCTAGAGCACTGATTCTGTCACTTAAGAGATTTCTTTCTACAGAGGTTCAACCTCACTCTGAAATTGCATGTGCAAATCTTAGAACTAGCCACCTATTTGTCATTTTTCACCTTTGACATCACATACATTCAGAACAAGGGTGTTTTCATGGGAAGCTACACTGTAAACTGGTGCTTAGGTCATTGTAGTCTAACACCTTATCCAAATACAATTATAACATCTGATAAACTGCTTCATTATCTATATCTATATATATATATAAAAATGGACATGTATGTCCCTATATTTCACTTTTCTGCCAAAACTACACATCACACGTGAATGGTGTTTGTATGTGGTAGTAGCCCCAAGTCTCCATTCGTGCATAGGGGTGGTTGCGTCTCGATAGCTATAAGGGTGTGGGAGATATGAGGCTGAAAGTGGTTGAAAGTGGCTTTCTATTTCGAATGTTTTGTTCGAATTTGTTTGAACAAATTTGAACAATATTCAAATTAAATTTGAACATAAAATTCGAATATTGGTTTGATTATAGAACGATCGTAAATGTTCCAGAAACGTTGAAAATAGTTCGTTTGACTGGATGTGAACAGGAGATGTTCAGAAATAGAATCGGGACCAGGAAGTGTTAATATAAAGTGGCATGCAAGATTTACAGGCAGTTTTTTGCACTTTTGTGGGAAATTGAACATATTTTTATGCTCATGTAAAAATTCTCTGGAAACGTCTGGAAACGGGAGACCTAATTCTTGCATTTTGTGAAAATGGGTAAGATTGGCTATAATGTAATTATCTTAATCTTGACTATCGTTACTTTTTGCCCACAAATAAAAACCCAGCGAAGTGGGTCCTTGCAGATAGATTCTAGCTTACTTAGAAAAACAGTCTTTTATATATATATAAAAAAAAAACTATATTACATACAAATGTACAAACAAATAAAAACCCAGCGAAGTGGGTCCTGGCAGCTAGTGGTTACTAAAATTAATATGAAATTTTTCTGACTTCCAGCTTTGGCCATCTTCAATGTACTATACAGTACATGTAAATCAATTTACATGCAGATGAAACTTTGTATTGAATAACCTTAAATTTTTGTTTACTTAACTACATGATTTTTAAGTTTTAGCATTTTTATTTTTAAAGAATAATATAAAAATTATTTGTCATATCATGTTTCATATAATTAAGTTTAACAAATGAGCCGTTGATTTTGAAAATGGGGCAAGTCCATTTTATGTTATTGCTAGATATTTAATTGTTTGCATTTGAATGAGTTTAAAAATATTCTTAAGCAGTAATAGACTTCTTTTATATCTTTTTGGTCTTATTTCATGTAAATTTAGTATGTAATAATGGTTATCCGTGTTAGGTGAAAATAATCATGGGTTTGGTATGCACCAATGGACTTGCCTCACTTTCAAAAGCAATGATTTGTTGAAAATGTTGATTTTCTTTGAATGGAATATAATTATAACAACAAAAAATTGAATATTTTATTTCTTTGCTTATTTATTTTATTTCGACATTTCATACTTCTTCCAAAAGCTACAATAAAGCAAAAAATAAATTTAGCTTTACAGGAAAAAGTGGATAAAATAAGAAAAAATATTCAGTAATAAGTTGCATGCATACAATTATATTTTTTAGTTTAGATGGTGCAGATTTTTAAAGTATTTATGATAAATTGGTAGTACATAGGGTAATAAATCCATCATATCTTTATATTTTTCTTTAGAGTGGACTTGCCTCAGTTTCGAAATGAACTTACAATAAATATCATTGATGATATAAATTACTAGTAACAAATTTATACTGATACTAGATGTTACCCGCAAAATCTGCATGTGCGAAGATTTTGCAGATTCGCACATGCAGATTTTGCAAGCAACATTTATATTCAATATTTCAACAACCATAGTAATTGTTATATAACACCTACTGCTGAGAATGATGAGAATTGCTGAGAATCAAACAAACTATTTTCAATTTGATCAATTTTCTGGAACATTTACAATCATTCTATAATCAAATCGATATGCAATAACAAATTCAAACTTAAAATGGTTTGAACATTTGTTTAAAAAGTTGAAATATACAAAAATATTTATAACAATGTCTGAAATGTTATCAATTTAATACACCTAAGTACTCAATGAAGACTAAATGTAGTTGAAAACAAACAATTGCATCTAAAATGGTACAGTAGAAGCCATTCTTCAGATTAAGCCTTAATCCTCTCTCTCCCTCATGAGGGAATTTCGAGAAATCCCTTCTTAATGTGCGTTTTCATGACATAGCCTAACTGTGAACCAAATTTCCCCTCTAGGTTCAGTGGTTTGCTCAGGGATGATGAATCAGTCAGTCAATCAGGACAAGTAATTTTATATATATTTAGATTATAAGATATTTGTTGTGAATTGATTAAAAACATAAGTTTTATGTTAATTTGTAATAAGAATTTGCTTTAACTGTTTTTTTTTTCTCTAAATGGACTTGCCCCCTTTCAAAATCAACAGCTTAAATATTGACTTATATCACAAATTTTCCCTATTACATAAATATTATTATAAATATTACATATTTGTTATTAAATAATAATCAATAAAATAATTAATTTATTTACAGTTTGGACTGATGAAAATTGAAAAGGAAGATAAGTAAGCTATTTTAGTTTTAATTCAATATGATTTTTAAATGTGTTTATTCCTACAATATGTATGTGAATACATTAACCCCTTATTGTGTATCTCATCAACAATATATAAGATGTGAATGACAGAATTTTAACAGTTTTATCAAAAATTGCAAAAAATACAAAAAGTTTGTCAAAAATCTCAAAAATTTAAGTTTCTAAAACAGCCCCCTTATTTACATGCCAAAAACATAAATTGTATCAATAAATTTTCAGGAAAAAGTGATTAAAATTATTCCATTTAAGACCTTAATTTTGGGGGTTTGTTACCTCACTAAATAAATGAAGATGCCAAGAGTTTCACATTTTGAGAAGATATTATACAAATCAATGTTGAAATAAAGAAAAAGCTGAAAAGTTCTACTGAAAGTTATACAGAATGATAAAGATGATTGCAATAGGTATCTTTGGAGAAGAATAAAACAAAATATTTGATGAGGATTCTATCTCACTATGTCCAGTTATCAACAGTTGAGGGAAGATATTATCTACAAATAAATTTATGACATTCTACCTTATAATGAAATACTATACTTTTATAGTTTCTATTGATTAATTTATCTGCAAATTTTCTGTGCAATAAAGTATCATAGTAATCAGTTTTATCTATGATTCATTATAAAAATCTTCAGATATTTTTTGATATTTTGCAATAGATTAATAATCAACATAATCTCTTAATCTTTCAATGGTTTGCTCTGATAGTTCTTGATATCTTGATACTAGGGTATATCTAGATATACAACCACTTCTATAATAAATGGCTCATCAAACTGCTGATATTGAGATATTTCTTTTCAATCGACCTTATTTCTAAAATTCATAATTAATTTTGAAGGTAATGCTTAATATTGCAAAATGTGACCAATTAATTTTATTAGGGTGATGATGAGCTACCTTGTTTATTTTCGTTTCATGTTTTTTACTCTGAAGTAGATTCATTGTTCTGTATTGCCCCCTTTTATTAAACAGTCTTTACAACCATCAAATGATATTCTATTCTAATAACACATTTCTTAACTCCTTTGATTTTCTTTTCAACTTTACCCTCAACTTTCAATACTAAATTTGTTTATACACTTTGTATAGGTTGTATTCCTCATCTGATATGTCAGTTTCATTCCATTCACTATAAAATTCCCAATTTGTTGGTAATTGCATTTCGTCACATTTTAATTCTTTGACTTTTAAACACTCAAAGAAGATTCTCAACATGGTTTCAGATTCTCAAACATTTTAGTTCATCATCCATATAATCATAAGGATAAACACCTTTTCTAATTACAAGATCTAATATGCCTTTAGGAAAATATTTCAGTGTGTATCTAAATTGTTAATTTTGAAGATTATTAGATACAGTATTATCTCAACTTATGCTACCTCGACTTACGTGAACCCGAGTTACGCGATTTTCAAATCTTGTCGATTCGTCTTTTGTTTGAGCGCCACGCAACTTTTGATTACTCACTCCCCCCCACACTATTGTTCAGCTGACATGTTCAGACGTGTTGTGCGGAATCAACACATAGCTACAATTTATTTTGTGTTATTTATTTCTGTGTTTGTTATATCTACGGAGACTTGAGAGACTCTGTGTGGTGATTTCTTGTAACCATAAATGAATCAAAAGATGAGATAAGATTAACGAAAACATTTATTAGCTTACATACATCCGACTTGGATTTTACACAAATTGCAAAATTATACCCTGACTTACGCGAATTCGACTTACGTGGTTATCGCTTGGTCCCACCTATCGCGTAAGTTTGGGGTATTACTGTAATTTGTTTATGCTTTTATGCTACTTGCCATAAATTTAATAGTCACCAAGTCTTAATTTTATGTTTTCAGTCCCTTTTCTGAATGAAATTTATTGTTCTTCATTATTTGGAATTAACTTTGTTATCCTATCTAAGTTTTTTTTACAAACAAATGTGCATCATTTCTGCTTAAATTGTGGCTACATACAGGAATAAATGATGGATTCTGATAATTTAAATTATGGTTTTCATATGCTAGTCTTCTATATTTCCTGTGTTCCAGATCATGATCTTTAGCTTTCTTTTCATTTCTTTTAATAATTTTTTTACATATATGACATTTATTGTTATTTTTAAAAGTTTTTGCTTATCAGGAGTTAGTGGCTTTATAGGCTTTACAGTTTTGTATAATTTCTCTAATTCATTCTCTTTCTGTAACATCTCAACAGCTTTCTTTGAGCATTTGGTCCTCTGTAAACAGCAGGTGGTTTGTATCCACCATAAACATATTTTATACAACAACAGAAACTCATGGGTTCATGTTTCTGTTAAGCTATTGTATATGATTTTGCAGGATTTGATTGACATTTTCTTTTAAATAATGAAGCAGGAAAACCAAATTAAGGACAATATACAGTTTGAAATAAAAAAAGAAAATCAAAATATAAACTATTTAGACATTGCAATACAAAGAAAAGAAGATAATTTAGAGTATAAAAAATATGTTAAACATATGCAAGTATAAAGTAATTAATTATAAATCAAATATATCAATAAATATGAAGTTTAATATATTTAAAATTTATATAGATATAATTAAAGGTAGAACTAATAAAATAGAAAATCAGGGAAAAGAAATACAACAAATTGTAAAAATAGATATGTTCAATGATTATTCTAAAAACTTATTAGATGAATAGAAAACTAAAAGAATAAAAAATGAAAATATAAATATAAAATCTTCTGATGATGATAAAAAATGTGAAATTTAATTATATTCCTAAATTATTTGAAAAATTAAAGAAACTATTAAATTATAAAATAAATTTAATACTCAAAAAAAATGATTTATTTAAAAAGTATTTATATTATAGAAATGATAATAAAAAATACTGAAATACTGTAAAAGAAATAAAAGGAATAGTATATTCTTTTAAATTTAGTTGTGGACAAGATAAAACAAAGAACATATAACATCAATTAAATGTAATTATGCAAATTTTGGCAGTAGCCAAGCACTGTAATAAAGAAGGATTAAAAATTAATTTAAATACAATAAAAATAATGAAAAAAGAAACAAATAGATTTAAAACACAATTATTTGAACATATTTACCTCAAAAAGCAAGGCAATAGAATTAATGATAATTTAGGAAGAGAAATTCACCAATCATGGAACAGTTTCGTTTATAGAGGACATTATGTATAGAAGTATTTAAAATAGAAGAGGAGGGAAAGAAAAAAGGAGGAAGTGGGAACATGAAGAAACATAGAACTGAATTAAAGTTAGAAAATTAGTGAGTGACGAATTTTAATATTTCATGTAGAAGTAAAAACTTTTTTATTTTATATAAGAAAATGAGGTGTAAAAATTAGAATTATGTGTAAAATTAGAATGTTTTATGTGTTTTGTTATGTCTTTTGGATGCTTTATGTCAGTATTACTGTTGTATTAATATTGGACAGTAAAGAAGATGTTAGTATTTTTTAAGTATTGTTGAGTATTATAATATTTTAAAACTGTTTTATATAATTTGTTTATAGAATGAACCAGCTGAACCTGCCTACAGGTCAAAAATAAAGATATTTTGTTTTATTTTTGACTAATTTTTTCTCCCTTTACTAATTTGAAACTATACCAGTATAATAAGTCCTAATTATAAATAAGGTCTATACAGACAATATAAAAACAAAATTTAAGGACATAGAGGCACAAAGAATTAATTTTGAGATTTTTGCCTAATTTTTAATTAAGAAAATCTATTAAATGTTTATTAATTAAAAAAAATTTTTTTTTTATTTTGTTATAATTCATTTATTTTAAATACAAAATGCATCAATTTAATTTATTAAATATGTAGTTTTCTTTGTAGTATTTGTGTTTAATAGTTAAATTATTTTGACCCAATTGAATTTGAATATTTTTGAATCATTCCTTTATTATCCCTGCTCTAAATAAGTACAGTAGAGCATCATTTATCCAAATCAATTGGGGACTGGGGTTGTTTGGATAACTTATTTTTCGAATAACTGATTATGTATGAAAAAATATATTAACCTATTCCATGTTGAAATTATTCTCTGTTGTGTGTCGCTTTGCGTTGAATTTTCGTCGCTGTTAAGCCTAACTAAATTTTTTAAAATAATAAATGTGGCTATTGTATTGTTAAAAATCATTTCTTTATTTTGTACAAACAAAATAAATATATTGAAAAATATAAAAACAAAAAATTATACTTTAGAAGTTAATCTAGTATCAAAAACATTCGATTCTGCACGACACAGTCTGACTGGAACGCTTTTGGTTAACCGACGTTTCAGTTGATTGGCTTTCGGATAAACGACGCTCTACTGTACTCTGTTTTTCTGAATGAGCCAGACTAATTGATCAGAGTACATATTTTTCTCTTCTGATCAAGGGGCTAAAGTAGCTTGCTAGATCATGCACTTTTTAGTTGGACTAACTCTTCTGAAAGGGTGAAATTGAAGTGCAAATGCTGTCAAATATATGTAGATGTAGAATTTTATTGCCTCCTTTCTTCTCTTATTAAGTATTGTTAAATATTAATTTTTTATACAAATAAATATTAATATAAGTTAAATATTAAATGTACTAACTATAAAAGTATTTGGGTATCCACCTCAGGCTCTTTTCAGACTTCTGAGTAGGATATCCCCCTAAAAGGGCCTCTGCCTGCCATAAAATGATTTGGTATTAAATTTTGCCAGAGTTATAGTTGGCCTACTAAAATTATTACTTATTATTGAGTGTTTTTTTTTTTTTTTTTACTGACTCTGCAGCCCTGATCTGGTTGATCCAGAACTGGTGTGTGTATGTATATATACATTACTCTAATACATGTTGAGAGGCAAACCAAATGAGCAATTTATTATATGGCACACTATAATTGACATATCTATCCACCTGTTTTCAATCTCCATGCTAACTTTTTATTTGTAGGTTGTATTTCATAAAAAAAACTCTCCTAATTCTTAATTACACATTGTGTGAAATTTTTCTCTATTCTATATTTATACCTGTAAGTCTTCTTATTTGAGTATTTGGTATTCATACTTATTCATGCTTATGGTATTTGCTTATTCATGATAGAAAGTTGTGACTAATCACACAACTATTCACACATTGCATATTCACAAATATATTTTACAATTTTCATACAGTATTTGTAAAAAATATACTTTCTATTAGCATTAGTTTTTACATTTTTTGACATAACCAAGCCATGTACAGTAACTATTAAAATACCAAATTAATGTCATCATATTACAGCAAAATTGCCTTATGCCAAATTACATATGACAGTGTTTATATCACAATTTAGTTAATACTAGTAATTACATAATCCCATATAATAATATAAAAGATGATAAAACGGATAGTTGTGAGGTTTGAGGACATTCAGACAGATTCTGAGAACAAACTAGCAGACAGTTGCAGAACCCACAAAGAACTGGACCTGATGGCTACAGAAAATTTGTATGACATCGAAGAGGAAGATGAGGAACAGGAAAACATGCTAAAGTTGCCAATGACAGCTTTTAAGCATTCAAAAATATACAGCACTATTGATATCATCTTCGAGCAGTTGCAAGAATCAGACCTTATTCCTGAATTCAATCTCAAGTTTAAGTGAGTTTTGAAAGTAATCTGTCTTGAAGAACATGGATAAAAGTCCATCAGGTGACAATAACTCAAACTGTTTGTAACTTCTCCACAGTTCTTTTAAAATGTAGATTGTAATGTTTTTAATATAATTAAACATGTTATTTTTGAAACCGTGTTGCGAATATATTGGACTTCAAACTCACATTTGAGTTATAAATAAACACTTGGCATTTATTTCCATCAACTAAAAATGATGGAAATAAAGCCAAGTGTTTATTTATAACTCAAATGTGAGTTCGAAGTCCAATAATTAAACATGTGAATAAAGCAAACATTAGTTCCTATTATTTGCTTCTTGAATCATCTACATAAGTTTAAATATTCCTGTTTTAGCTTAGCCACATTGGCTTGGCCCACAGGAACCTCTCAGTGTCTAACTCTATTTTCCCATAAGCTTTTTTCATCTGGTATTATTAAGATTTCCAAGGAACCTAACCCTCATGAATAGTAACCCACAGATCATGATTTGCCATTGCTGTCTTAGGACTTCTAAAAATATTTGAAATAATTAAGTGATTCAAACATGTTTTATTTTAATATTATAAATTGAACCCATAATGGGCTAAGTAGACTCTCTTAGTGCCATTGGTACTAAGAGAGTCTACTTAGCAAGCCCATTATGGGTTCACCCCGGCCCACAATACATCGTAGGTGGTGAAGTCGGTGTCCAAAATATTCCAAATAATTTTTGGAATATTTTGGACTATCGACTTCACATTTTATTATGGAAATTTTTGGGGTTCTCTGTGACCTATCTGGATTTAATCCTGCATGCCTCAGAGCAGTAGGCTGCCACTTTAACTGCTTGACTATCTGGCCATTCATCATATAGTGCTTATAAAAGTTTATTTTTTTAAATAAATGACTGTTTACTTTAACTCTTTAAGATTGTAATGATTAAAATTAAATAATTTTAATTTTTATATAGGGAATTGATTGATTCATTTCATAAAGCAATGGCTGAAACTGGTGCTGATTTTACAAATTCATTTAGAAATTTAAGTAAAGTTACATTACCAGGATTACCAGATTATGAAGCTAATCTTTCAAATTTAAAGCAAATGTTACTAGAGCAGTGTTGTTCATTAGAAGAATTAATTGAAATGAATCAGTCTGGTATGGATTCTAGGTAAGAATTATTATTATTATTATTATTAATTATGTGTGGTATGACTTTGAGTTAGCCATGTAATCTTCTATTACCCTTGGATACTAAAAATTTGGTATTATCAATATAAATAAAATATAAAGTTTACATACAAGATTTCCTTGAAAATTGTTACACATCAACACAAAATAAAATGTTTATGAACAAATTAGTAATTATTACTATGTAGTTTGAAAAATTCAATTTTAGTCCTGCATATAATAAAATAGGCCTACTGTGTACAAAATTTTTCACATTATTGTATGAGAGTTAATAATACATAATTTGAAATGTTTTAATTAAATCATACAAATAAATTTAAATTGCATAATGTATAATTTGCCACACAACACTAAACTGATAAATTAACATAAACATTTCTTTAATACCAAACAATCTGCCAGATTGTATCAGACTAAATTATGGTTACATTTAATACAGTAGAACCTCCATTATCCGGACCTCCATTATCCGGATTTTCGATTATCCGGATTGTTCAAAATAAACAAAAATTTTACGAATTTGCTGATTTGCACTTGGCGAATTACGACACTGTTTATGTACGTGATGGAATGCATAACTTTTTTTGTTTCAACAACGTCTCACCCAGCACAGTGGTCGTAAACTCTTAAATATATTTTACGTAGTAATAAAAATATAACTTGACATACGTATTTATAAATAATTTATATTCAAATTACATCATTTCTATGACCAAGGGCGGCGTAAGGCATGGACGACGTGGGCCACCGCCTATGCCTCGCGGTCCGAAGGGCCTCGCGCCTCGAAGGTTTATGCATTACTTAAAAGCCGCGAACGCGACGAAAAAATTTTACTCGTCATAAAACGATAAATAGTTTGTCAAATTTTTATTCATAAAAATGCAGTTTCAACTGCTTTTTATTTTATAAAATCCGTCTTCTTGCGCCACCGGAGGGCCTTTTAAACAATAGGTAGTCTGTTAGAGTTGGTCAGTAGTAGTCCAAATTCAATATGAACGTTTGTTTCTTGAAAATTTGATGACGATTTAAATACAGTATTTACTTTTAATATTACCGATATGTCATCGAAAAGAAAACGTGTTGTATTATTATTAAAAGACAAATTAAAGTATTTGTTTCGATTATCCAGATTTTTCTTTATCCGGACTACCTTTATCCCCAATTAGTCTGGATAATCGAGGTTCTACTGTAATTGGATATTGAGTAATTTTGTTAACTTAATTGCCTACCTCTAGGCATAATTACTCAATGTCTAATTATTAAACACAGCCATAATATAGCCTGAAACAGTCCTGCACATAATTTGGTATTAATCAAGAATTGGGTTATTCAATATCTATATAAAAATTTTTAGATTAAAAGAACATTTTAAGAATGTATCACCATTACATTTGTTTATACAATTATAAACTTGATGTAATATGTTGATTAATGGAAATAAAATTAAAGGATTTTCATTTCTTTTTAAAGTTCTGTTTCAGTTTTGGCATTATGTAAAAATCTAAACTATAGCTTGGTAATCAAGACCGACTCATCTCTACTGCATGTAAGTAGGTAGCATTGTGACATGTGACTGTCAATAGGCATCACTCTCCACCATCTTTCTACCATAAATCTGTAGGATTGGGAATTCATCACCCAAATGTACACCAGGCACTACAGCCAACACTGCCTCATGATGGCTGCATTCAGCAGAGTCAACAGTTGTAACTGTGTAAAGATATTTCAATCTGTAGCTGTTACATAGCAATATGGATCTGCTGAATGATGAGTGATGTATTCATTGGAACAGGAAGTAGTTTCTGCTTTCATGTGTATAAATTTGTGTTTATTTAAGTTAAAGATGGATTTTTCTTAAATTTGTATTAGACATACCTGTTTTCAGTGGTTCAGGAACATTTGTTATTAATGCTGCAATGAATATCTTTGTATTGGTATAAAATACAAATATAATATCTTTATTCTCTTGCTTGTCTATAGCCATCATTGATCAATTACAACTAGCAAAGGTAGTGTAAATGAAATACACTACTAAATGTGATGTCAAAACACCAAACATGTTCTGAAACAGTGCTACTGAAGAGGGCATTCAGAAGAAAAATACTTAACAGATCAAAATTTTTGAGTCTGCTGAAAGCAGACAAAGACACATGCCTCTTACATTCATAATGTCTATTCATACTTAATTTTTTTTAAACTTTGCATTTAGATATTGAATGTTTTAATTTTATTTTTAGAACACAAGATCTTCCTGTATTTTTGAAAAGTTTTCAATTAATGTCTACAGGCTTAGCCAATATGATACTCCATTTTATTTTAATATTTTTGTGGGATTGCCATATTTTTCTACCACAGATTTTTCCAGGATTGCTTTATTTTTCCCCTAAACCTCATTTGCACAATCAGTCGTAAGTTATTCTGTAACACTTCTGCTGATAAAGGTTTAGGATTTCTGTTCATTAAACAGAATAAATTATTGTTTTGTTTCATCTAGTTATTTTATATTTATTTTTACTATATTTTATGGGATTCAATGTTTGTTAAAAAGAAAGGCTCAAAACTCTCTGTGTCATATAAGAAGATGCGATCTCTCACAGGCTAACAAATTCTTCAACCAGCCTTTAGTAGGCTACGGCTAACCTCTATGTAGTCTCAACTCTTGAATGAAACTGTTATTATTTAACTAAACTTTTTAGGATTATCATTGTATACTACAGCGAAGCAGTTTTTGGGGTCAAGAGCCAAGGTGCAGGACGACTTAATATACTAAATATTTTTTTCTTAAATATTCTGTGCTGAAATGGGTGTGTCTTATATGACATTAAATACTGTATTATCATACTATTATTGTATGAATTGTTTGTTATTTTTTGAGCTGTAATTTCAAAAAATTATTGACTTATAAATTCCCACTGGTGTCCATTGTCTGCCTGTATGCCTGTCTTTCCTTCCTCAATCTCAAGAGTGGTGTTAGAGAGATGAAAGTCAAGACCAGATGTGGAAAGCTTAGAGGCAGGAGATCCCAATTAACTATATATGAACTTCCAGTTCAGACCAGAAATCACATGATTTGAATTAAAAAATTCTTCCCAAAATGGAGTTACATAAGATGACCAGCATGACTCTGTTGTCATCAAGAAAAGTATGATTTATGGGAACAAGAAATTACTAATTTGAGATTAAGAGTATTTTAAATTAAATAAATTAAAATTTTCTTAAAAATTGCAGCCCAGCATTTTCAAATTAAAATATATTTATTGTAATGTAATCTTGTAATATTGTAAAATATATTTATTGTAACGTTATTTTAAATATATTTAAATATTAAAAAGTCAATATTTTCTGATTTATAAAATGCAATAAATAATAATAACAATATTCTTTTAAGGCAGTTTCAAATGTTTTTGCTATTAATGCGAATGAATCCAGAATTGTTAGAACAATTAGGGAAAGGCCCAGTAGCAATAGAGAGGGTCATGCAAAAAATGGAATATGCTGAAAAATTAAAGGTAATAAAATTTAATTTTTTAATATTATTTTCAATAAATTTACATTTGCTACAAGATACTTTTTCTGAATGAATTTGATATATTGTTATCTTTTACTGTATAATGCCTCTTAAGAAATTAAAACATGCATAAAACAATGTGAAATATAAAATATATATATAATTTAATTATTAATAAATATAAACATTTAAATCTTATTTATTTAGAAATTGAAACCAGAAGAAAAAGTAACTAATGATGATGAAATATGGTCTAGTTGGGTAGAGAAATACAATAAAAGATTACATCAAGAAATAAAGGACATTAAAGATGTAAAAGAATTGGAACAATTGCAAAAAGAAAGAATGGAAATAATGAATAGTAATAATCCAAGGTACATATACTTTATATTTTCATATTAATTTATTGACTTTATTCACTCAGTTGTGAATGAATATGAATGAATTTTTAACTTGAAAAATTTAATAGTTAAATTAATTATACATATATTTTGGAACAGGACAAACAAAAAGTTGGTAAATACGGAATTATAATTAAAATGTATAAAATCAGTGTTTTCCAATATGGACAATAGCACTCTGTGTTTAATAGGTGACTTCTTTGCAACAACTTTGAGGAACTGAGATTCAATTCTAGGTTTGGATTCTCAAGAATTTTTCTAAATATCTAGTCTGCTTAGACAATGTTTTCCACTAATGTCAGTGATTTGAAAGATAAATGATGGAAAATTTAGGACATGTACAACAAAAAATGAAGAGTATTTTGCAGATGATAAAAGTTGTAATACAAATAAATCAGCATTCATTGATTTTCCAGTAAATAATGATTTTAGATTAGCAAATGTTCACATTTTAATGATAGCTTAATGTACATAATTCAATATTATATTAAAAAATTATTTTTAATATATTAATTTATATTTAACCAATTTGTCTTTTTAGCAATTAAACATGGATTATTGAGAATTTAAATCTCAATAATTCATTCTTTATAATATCATTGTCTACATTGGACTCTGTATATTAATAGGACTTATTATACTGGTGTTTTGGCCATCAGGTCCCAAACACAAATACAGAGTGTACAGGTAAAAAAATAAAGATAGTTTGTTTTTTCTGAATAAGATCTCTTCTATTTGCTAAAACAGAAAAAATGCCAGTATAATAAGTCCCCTTAATATACAGAGTCCAACATAGACAATGATATAATAAAGAATTTAATAATGACATAGAGGCAAAAGAATTACTATCTCAAAAATTCATGTTTAATTTAATTGCTTAATTCCAAAGAACAGAATTTTCTCTTTATACCTTATCTATTTTAAATATTGATTAGATTTTTATAAATTTTTTACAGAATAAATTTTTTAATGTGCTTTAATATATGTTTTTAGGTTTATCTTAAGGAATTATATTGCTGAAAATGCAATAAGACAGGCTGAAAATGGTGATTTTGAAGAAGTAAAGAGAGTTTTAAAATTTCTTGAAAGTCCATTTAGTGATACAGCTGTTTATGAAGCATTTCAACATACAGATTGTCTGGATAAGACAAATGATAATGATTATGGTAATGCTTATTAATTATTATTTTTTTTAACATTTGTGATGCAATCTATAAAAGGTACCTTAGCTGGAAAACCTGATTTTCATTTTTTGAATCATCCTATTCTTTGAATGCTTCACATTCTTTTGCTCTACAGCAAAATTTCCAACTTAATGTACCTTCTTTTATATTGTGTTACATGTAATTTAAATATACACTCATTGACAAAAATGTTATGCACCAAGAAGGATGCATTGGAATTAAATAGAATTGTAATTTATTAGTTCAATTGTAATGAAAATGATATTAAGTGATTACAATATTATAGCAAAGAGACAATTTCTGTGAAATAACAGTACAATTTAAAGGAATCTTTAGTACCTTATAGAATCTCCTCTTGCCTGGATACATAAGGCAATGTAGTCAAGCTGGGGGCACATGGTCATTGTAAGCTACCTGTGTACAATCTTCCCATAGATGCTGTAACTGCTGCTCCAGATTTTCCATATATTTTGCAACTTAACCCTGTTAGCAGAATTTAATATTTTTGAATTTGCCATAGAAGTATGCCTGACATTCAAATACTTTCAAACAATAGGCATACTAAAAATTGTGACTTCAGTGAGTCTCCATAAACTTTTTTTTTATAGGATATGGGCAATGATTTTAAGTCACTCAGGTAGCATTACCTAGTTATCCCTTGATTAATGCAGTTAATTAATTCCTTGATGTTACTGCATATATCAGAATCACATTAATCAAATACAGTGGTTCCTTGGTACTTGACTGAACAATCACCACCCTCTACAACAACTGTTCTGTTATTAACAAATATTTTTATTTTAATAAACAAAAATAGCAAATTCACTAACACCTTATTTACTGAGAACATATCTATGTTAAGTAAAGACAGCTGTTAAAGCCATGTTAATTGAAATTTTTACCACACATAAAAAGGGATTGCTGAAATTACTTTTGCATGTTAATCAAATCCTGCATTAAGCAAGGGATACCTGTATAACTATAATTACCTGTCTGAGACATAGCTGTATGCCAAGTTTTGCAGTAAGTGAAAAATTTTATCTGGGTGTATAACTATTTTGTCAATTAGTGTAAAATTTATTTGTAGATATGAATACCTATTGAATTTTATTTATCTAAATTTTTATAAAAAACAATACTTGAAGTCAAAGCAATGCAACTGAAGAAGTCAAATGCATTTATTTTCAATTAAATTTTTAAAACATTTTATATCTCATAATCAGATTGAACACTTAAACTGTTTTAAGCATAGAACATTGGAATAAGTTTCAAGATACAGTAACAGATTTGAACATAGATCTTGTTTTGTTTAGAACTTTGTTTTAAAAAAAAATAAAATTAAATATTCTAAATCTAACAAATTAATTCAATAGTAATGTAATAAAACATTATCTAAATACAGTTCTTTGATGTTCTTAAGATGCTAATCTTAAAGTCAGACATAATTATTTTTACTTGTTTGTTTATAATCAATGACACAGCTGTAAACTATTTTTAAAACATTTAATTAAAAATAAATAAATTGGACTCCTTGAGTTTTATAGTGATTTTTAAAGTGTATAAATTATTGATAGTTACAAGAAAGATATTCAAAGTCATATTTTTCAGTGTAAAAATTGAAATAATTAATACTAATATATGAAAATTCTGTTTATATTTTTATAATTTTTATTTTATAAGCAGTACATCTGCTGTACAGTACATACTAACATACATACACACACATTAATATATATATATATATATATATATTAAACTAAATTTTAATTGTATATATACAATTAAAATTTCTTTACAAATAATTCTTCTTTAGTAGTTTTAAAATATTGTTAAAATATTTATTATTTAAAATTTCCCTCAGATTATAAAAAATTAGCTAAATACTGAAGCAGATAATAAAAAAACTATAGCAAAAATGTATGAAATGAAATGAAATGAATGAAATTTTAGGAGTGTTAATCATAGGAAGGCAAACTAGGATAGCTATTTACATTGTTGCAGCCATGACAGTGTAAACAGATATCCCAGTTTGCTTTCCTATAGTTCATCTGAAGATACAACATTTTACATGTGCATTTTGTGAGTAAATAATAGAACTACACTAAAATACTCACATTTCACAATTGGATGATGTGATGTTTATAGAGTTGTGCTCTTATGCTTTGAAAATATCAGTCTGATGACAACATGTAACCAAAATACACAACCCTAATTGGTAAAGTTGCAAGAATATGTAATACTTACAGTTGTAAATCTTTAAGGAAAATTCCTTATGAAACTAACATAATAAGTGAGAGTAAAGTAATTTACAGACATCTTCCAAAAGTTATATTAAAATAAAATTGCTTCTTCAGATAATCAAAAAATCTGTATTTCAAGCAAGCACATACCTACAGTCATAAATACTTACTCATACATTAGGATCAGTAAACATAAAATTATAAAATACGTGAATGATATGCTTAAAATTTTAAGTAAAGATCATACTTTTGCTTTATTAATTAAATTATAATTTATGAAAATAATTAATTAATAATTTTCATGATAACTTGTCAATATTAAAATTTAATCATCTTGTATGTTTTAGCAACATCATCACATGTTGAAGAACTTCAGAAATCACTGGATTTTTATGATTGTAAGCCACCTGAATGGGCAAGAAGTCTTAGAGTCACTTGATCGTCATAAAATTCTATGCACTGTAAGCATATTTATAAATATTTTTATGATTGTGTATAGTGTTGAATCGAATATTTGGCAGTATTCAGGTATATTCAGCCACATTACGTATTCAATATTTGGATACGTAATGTGGCTGAATTTTAGTAGTGATTTTAGTTTGGGGGGAGAGAGAGAGAGGGAAAAGAAAGAAAAAGAAATGATAAAACATAAAATAGTATAAAAATAACATTTAACATCTCAGATATTTAAAAATATCATTTATTTCTTTTCAAAACAATATAATTTTAATTAATATCTTGAACAAATATTAATTATTAAAAATCACAATTCATGAGTAATAAATTGTAATGAAGAAACATTAATGCTTCTGCATTCATAGGAAATAAATGATTATGGTAGTTGTTATAGATGCTTCCAGCTTCACTGAGCTTAGTCTATGTTAATTAAATACAGTACTTTTTGGGTTTACTAAAAAATGACTGATCTCAATGGCAAGATTTAATTTATTACTTTTCATTACATATATAATAATTTTTAAAAACAAAATCATATACAGTATAACCGATGAATAGCAGACATTGTTGGGACTGAGAAGTTTGTCTACTATTCAGAGGTATATGCTGGCAGCCATATTGTATTTTAACCTGGTCATTAAAAAGTGAAGAATACGATGGGTTACAAAAGTATCAAATTTGTGTTAAGAATGTAAAAATACCAAAAAGTATATGTAAAATATATAATTAAAATATATATACAGTATATTATTTTATATTATTTATTTTTTCAGCTGTAAAAATCACATTTTAATCGAATTCTAAATAGCAAACAGATTGTATAAGATATTTTAATTAACATAAAAATTTCAACTAAATGTAAACATTGATTAATTATTAATTCATCAAAAATGACCTGAGTGGAAGTAATGAAAAAGAAAAATAAAACTGTTGTTATGAACAGAAGGATTTAGGTGATGAAAATTTGAATGTCAAGTTACGAAGGTGATTTGCTAGCCACTTCAAGAGGTTTGGTATTCTTGCATTTATAACATCATTTATGATCTAAGCAACTAATAAAAATTGATATAGGGATTTTTCTTTGTAGTTATCAAGTAGGTGTAATTTTTCAAACATTTTTGCTTTTTTCAATAAATGATTTATTAAAAAAATTACACCTAATCCACCACAAAGCTGTTAAGATCATAAATTACGTAATAAATTCAAGGAAACCAAATATCAACATTATCACTTTAAATTGAAATTGCATTCATAACACAATCTTTGAACTTTCACCAAATAAATGCTGTTGTCTTAACTATAAAAACTTTTTCTGTTTCAAATGAACGAATAAATCAGGAAAAGTTTATGGTTTCTTGGTTCTGAAAGCTTAATTCTAAAAATAAGAAAGAAATTTAACAACATTAATATGAATGACGATAAGTGATGATTGACAATCTAACCAGATTAATGTTCGCTAACAGATAGAGTATTGTTTGGCTTTTTACAATCTGCCCTCCTTCCCATTCCTATTTTCAGTGTCTTTATTTACCTATGATCAAAATTTGTCCTCTGAAAGAGTATTTTAACCGATTCTTTTAGTTTTAAAATATTCCATATGTAACTAATTATTTCAGAATATTGAAGACAGGACTTTGTTTTCATAAGATTGGTTATGGACGACATCATCTGTTATTTAGAGGTGAATATAATAGATGTCTTGTTTGAAGGGTCTGGGAATTATAAAAATATCCGTTAAGTAAAGTTGTCCATTAGTGGAAGTTTTACTGTATAATCTTTATTATTGAATAGATGACATTGCCCTCCATCTTATTCTAAGGTTTAGAATCTATATCATCTTTTTCAGCTAATTTCAAATAAATCAGTTGATATTTGGCTGAATTTTCAGTATTAAGTAGTCAGAAAGACAACAGTAACATCCAAATAATCATTTATTAGTTGGCCAAAAAGTTGTATTTGATCCATCCCTAATTATATATTTATTTTTAATATTAATAATTTTATGAATTGGAATATTTATACCATTTAAAATTAAATTTAGTAGCTTTTAATTTAATTTTATTATATTACAAAGAAATTGTAATATCTCTTTAATATAAAACATGAAAAATATAACACAGTATTTAACATGTACAAAATTATCAATTTATGTTATATATAAATAATGGAATAAAGTTAGAATGTATATAAAATTTTTAATACTGTTATAACTTATTTTATAATATTCAGTTCTGTTAACAAAAATATAATTGCTGATTTAGCAAAAAAAATATTTATGTGACTCACATTAGAGTATTTTTAGTCAGCATTTATTATTTAAAAAAAGTTTAATAGGATGAACTATTGAGATTATTTTAGATCTGAAAATAAAGTTGGACAGAGAAAATATCTGATGATTTATATATTATACATTATAAAAAATTAAGACGATACTACATCAAAATCAATAAAACAGAAGAAACTTGGTCTTTAGATGTTAAATCTTTTAATTACAAAAATTATAAGTCATAGAATACAAAATAGTAAATACTGACTATTGCTTTTTTATGTTTCTATGCTTATTGATTTTTTAACCATATAGATCAAAATAAAAATAATTTACAATAATAATTAATATATCATTATACAGTCAAATGAAATGAAGGAATTGTCTTCATCTTCAGAACTTATCTCTGAAGAATTGAAAATACAGAAATAGTAATAAGAGCTAATATTTGAGATCTTAACACATTGTTTACTATAATTTATTTTCAATAATTACAAAATTTCATTTCATAAGTACTGTGTATTCTATTACTAACTTTAAAAATGACACAATGTAGGATATTTATAACAGATATTCAGTAACATATATAAATATATACTTTGTATCTGTTATACATATATAAATATGTATGAAATCTGTTATATATACATATATAAATAAATTACATTTAGATTTTTCTTAATTATTATGTATTCTAATTTATTGTCATCTTATTTTCAGATAAGCATAGCTTAGAATGTAAAAATCACAAGTAGTATATGCCCAGTATTAATAATACAACATGAAGATATTGGTTTCAATTCTGACGAAAGACCAAATATCGGAGGTAACGGGCACTAAAGAAGTTATTTTTTTAATGACGAATGCAATGTAAGATTGTTTTGTTAAATGTAATAAATATTTTTCTTCTGTTATTGTTATAATAAATTTATTAATATGATGTTATGAAGTAAAAAATATAAATAAAAGTTAAAATATTAAATGCATATAATATAAATTTATGCTGATAATATAATGTATTATATAAACCAGATGTATCAAGGAACAAATTACACTATTTTGTTGTTACATTAAAAGAAAGTAATTTTTAAAAGTTTTTATAATCTTTTAATCAAAGAACATTTAAAAAAATTTTCTTTTTTTTTGTACTAAATATAAAATATGGCAACAAAATATTGTTTCCTCTTGCGTAGATGCACTTTTTAATATTTTTTATTTACTGATTACTTTTTGTATGTGGAAAATTGCTGACTCAATTTGCAGGATTACCATTAGAAATAACTGATTTATTTTATGATTTGATTCTGCAGAATTTAATTTTTTAAGTAAATCATCCTGTTTTATTATTATAGAAGAACAAATAATATTAAATATCATTACTTAAATTCAAAATTTATCACAGTTTACAGTAGCAAAAACAATACATAAAGTTTTTAATGGATGACAAAGACAGTTAAGGTGTCAACCTATTGTTCTGGCGCCCAGGATTGACTCCACGAGGTCAGAAAACTCCAGAAATTTTTAATGGTTCGTCGATCAATGAGTCCCCCAGTTGACTGTGAATAGATGTGCAAAGTATCCAGATATGTCACGTCTTATCCTGTGGATTTGGCTGGATCCGCAATGGGTATGTAAAAAAGGCCCTCTTAGTGCTCATATGTATAAAGCTTCAGTGTGATTTGAAGTATTTCAGCTTGGATACATTAAGATTTTAAAAATTTTTTAATATTTGATGATAAAATTCATTAAGAATGCTTAACAGTTGGAAAGACAAGACTCAAAATAAATTCATTTGTATAGCTTATTATAAAATTTTTAAATTTAATTTACACAATAAGTAATGCCCAAAGTCAAGTGATCGTCTACCTCTGCAATTAATAAAATAATTCAAAATTTACAAGCGAAAACAGATAAACTCAATATTCAAGAAAGAAATATAAAAGAAATTAGCTCCAGTATAAATAACCATCATAATATCATTTATATCTTTAAAAATCAAAGTGAAATGAATCTTTAGATCATTCATAGCAACAATAACATGATAAAAGAACAATACTGGAGCATTAAAGTGTAAAGATATGGCAAGTTAGGAGTACTTCTAACAGGAATATAAAGATTCTGATTAAATATAAGAAAAAATTTTATAAAAATATGTAATAATTTAAGATGAGAGACTGTAATGTAGATATTTGGAGAATCACTAAAAGTTGGGCACAGTTTGGTATTGATATTCAGTACAATTTCTGTAAAATAATAAGTTTAACAAAACCTTTAAGTAAGTAACTATATTTATGCTGCACTCCGATGGTGGAGTGGATAAAACCACTCAATGCTGGCTTGTGAGTTTGTGCATCGCCATTGCTGGCCACCTGTGTAACACTTAAATAAAGGTCAGTTTCCTGTAGAAAGCCTTTCCAGGAGGCATCTTTGCTTGTATTGCATTCTCTCTTCCATCAATTCTATCTTATATTTATGCTATGGAATTGTTTAATCACAATGTTATCATTCTCTAGGTGCAATTTCAGAATAAATGTGACGAATTTTCATGAATTAAAAGTCATTTATGCCTTATTTTTCATTGAAATCCTTAGATTATGTTAACCTTATTCAGCTCTCACAGAAAGAGAATTGAATTAGGTGAAATGGCAAGGGTTTCATAATGATCCTCACAGCATTAATTAATAAAATTTATAGTTATGGTTAACACAGATTTAAAAATATTCTTAAATTAATCTCATATATATAAAGTACTGTACATTTAGCCTAGAGAAGGATAGAGTGGGACTTGGGACATCTCATCTCCCCTCAGCAGGAAATATGAGGTCTTACTAGTCAAATCAACCTTAATTTATATATTTTTACATAAATTTTAGTGTTTTATGTTTGCATCCAAGCCCTTAGATGCAGCATAAAATCATTTCTGTTATAAAAATAATAGAATAAATCTAAATATATTTTAAGAAATATTTAATTTTTATAATCAGCAAAACATAAAAAAATATATTTTAATTATGTATTAAGCAGAGGGTGTAGAAGAGGAAGTGCATTAACTATCTGTGACCCGATCATTTCCTGTAATTATATGTCAACCGCAGTGGACAAAGGTGTCGCAAAGTTTACTGTCTGATTCATCACACTACAATAACTGTCTTCGTCAGATAATCCTGATAAGCATTCACCTACCGAAAATCACCTGGATGTTCCCAACGACAACTTTTATCACGTGGTAACAATCTATAATCCATTAACCGTTCGACTGTAAACAATACATCACGTAACTACGTCATTGTCACTCTAAATACAGACGTAAAGTTATCGGAATAATAACAATAAAAGAGCGTAATCCGAATCCACGTCTTTTGATACGTAAGTCAATTTGACGTCATATTTTAAATTTTTTTCGTTGTAAAAACTGAAGAGATGACGTCAAAGTGTGTAGTGTGTCCGGACGAAACAACGGCTACTGATTTAAATAAATACGGTCAAACCTTTGAATAACTTTTTAACCCCATACTTTCCCTCAGTTATAGTAAAACCTGGGTAAACAGGAATGGTATATTGTTTCCGCTTCAAACAGGTTTTGTTTAACACAGAAAATCGCTCCGTTTCGTAAAATCCGCTCAGACAGGTTTCCGTTTTAGACAGGTTTTACTGTGGAAATTGGAAAAAAAATACGGCATCCGACACGCTCCGAGTACCAAAAACCTTCCAAGAATACGTAGAAAAGTATCCGTATCATTTTAATAAATATATAACAAGAAAGAAAACAGTAAAACACATCAATTTCGAATCAATTATGCCAAAGTAAATTGCATTTTAGCCCCTGCAACGACCCGACATTGAAGAAACAAAGGAAGCCGGTATCGGCAGGTGAGGGCATATTTTATTGTCACTATAATTATCGAGTGGGAAGCCATTGTTGAGTGACGACGCGAGGAGGACCTCACTTGACAATATGATGGTAATGTCAATAATAAAAAGGACGAACACGTGTCGGTTCACACGAGTAATCAATGCTTAACACGATGCCAATAAAAAAAGGCCTCGTTTGAGAAACTACTTTTAGTTATAAGTGATTTATAATTAAAAAATTAATTATTTATTTATTTCTGAAATTTTGAAATATGCTGTTTAAATATTAAACGCTGTATAGGTTGTACTGTACTGTACTTTTTCTTATTTTGTAGATATTTATGCTAGAAATCTGGAGGAGAGAACTTAACACTTAAAGACAATAATGATAATACTCATAAATCTTTAGTTTCCTGGCTGTTATTACAAAGGGAAAGTATAACGATCGGTCAAAAATGGCCCCTCCCCAAAATTTTTGCATTTTTTGACTGGAGAGATCTGGAGAAATGCAAAACATTTGGGTTTGTTTTCTTGTATTTATGGATGTCAGTGTGTGTATTGTGGAAGGATTTTTTTTACCCACTTTAAAGCCTAATAACTTCTGTGTCTTTTGTCGAAAACTTCTGAAATTTTGCATGTAGATTCATGTACTAAGTGGTAACTGTTCTAGAAATTTTCAGATAAATCGGACTATTTGTTCGGTAGATATGGCCCCACTCCCTTAATGTCTCCCGAACCAATCTGAAGACTTAATGATAGCAATTATTAGAAAATGTCCGCCTTTCTAGTTTATTCTGTGGAAAAAATAATATAAAAGAGATAAAAATAACACGGCGAATTTAAATCAATTCTTTTTAAAAATTACGAATTCGACGAAACGAACTTATTTAGTTATTCTGAGCAGTGATTGTGTTAAGGAAAGCAATCCAAATCCATAACACGAAATCAAGCGCTTGCATGCAATGTTTCCATTAACATTCGCTTTCCATAAATATTTTACGAGGGATCTCCATCCAAGTAGCGTGACACACTGGTGATATCACGCTACGATCGACGAAGATCAGCGATTTTATATTATCGCGCACGCATGCTACACAAGTGGATTGTCTGTGCTCTTGTTAAAAACCAACAGCCGCTATTAGGTCAATTATTTGTTTACACTCGACCACAAATCCAATAATTCTCCTCTCCTGCGAATTTTTTATCGGATAATTTATGCTAATATTTAAAAAAAAAGTGCTTAAATTATGCGGAAAAGATGACGACGTTGATAATACATTGCCAATTGTTTGCTGGTATTAGTAACCTTTATCGTATGTTTGTTAGGTCTGTGTTTAAAATTAAATTAAAATTTGAATTTATTAGCTGAAAATTAACTTTGGTGGTGAATTTATTTAAAATTTTACTTAGAGGAAGAGGGAAGAATCTTTATAATTCGTGTACAGTACAGTACACAGGAACCAATTTCACTTGGCGGAGTCGAGGTATATTTTGAGGCTCGTATGCTCCTCGGTCTGCTGAAATTGTTTCCGAGAAGAAAAGCATTTCGAGGTTGTGATGAACCTCAAAACAAAGGTTGGCTCTGCCAAGTGAAATGTTAAATTTATTGTTGCCTTTATCAAGTCATGTATTGAATTTATTAATTGTATAGAGTAGAATTTTGAAGATGAAATTAATTATGGGGCGCTTCGATAATGTTAACATTTGATTCTTTAATTCTTCAAATATTTCTTCTCGTGTGAAATAGCCTATCAGTTCTGCTTTCATTCTCATGTAACATTCCTTTGAAGCGTCATGTAGGCCTATAGCCTATAAGTGATCGAGTAATTGTTGTGTAGTACATACAGTATCTGTGAATTATTCATAAACTAGACTCTTTAAAATTGTTAACAAGGGCTACAGTCTCATATTTTCTTAAAACATTCTTACGTTTATTTTTATTGATTATTGTGAAATATATTAGAGTGGTTCGGGGAAGATGCCTAACATTTTGCTTATGAAGGAAGTTATAGCTATAATTTGAGTTTTGGAGACCTCTAACGAAAATATCATATTCTTCAGTATGTTTTTTCAAATAAAACTTTGGAGTAGCCTATATGAAAAATAATTATGTATTGTGTTTGAAATGACGACTTTTTCATTGCCTGGCATTTTAGGCATCTCACCCCGAGCCGGGTGAGATGCCAAATGACATTAGAGTAAGATAACAAATATTATTGCATAAAATTAATTTTCGAATATCTTAACCAAATTTAATATATTGCATATGTAGTACAAAGTATTTTATAGCAAGTGTAACAGCACAGTATAAGTATTGTTAAGTTCCCGCCCGCTCTAACGTGCTCTATAGCTAGCTGAAAGTTTTTTCAGTCCAAAAACCTTTTTGAGAAGTCCTTATATAATTTCTATGCATACCCCGCAATAAAACGAGGGAAAAAAGTTTATTAAAAATAGGCATGTTATCCGAAGAAAAATGTGACATCTTTTCCATTTGTCGTGATAAGACGCCTAGTGGAGTCACGTGTTCTAGCATATCCGATCGGGATCGGCGGTAGCTGACAATGGAAACTTTAGAACCTTAACTACATCACACATTAATTGCTTTTCGCAATTTTTAATAAATTCTACTTTAACTTTTAGTTTTAAAATGACTCTAGAAACATTTCACAACAAAAACTTCGTTCTTTTCTTGCTTTTATTCTTCTCAGATGTAGAAAATGTGGTAACGGTAGCCAACTACAGCTTTCCGCACTCAATATTGGCCCAACGATCCAACGTACAAACACATGACAGTATCTGACGTCACTGTTTGAAAATAACAAAAATTAGGCATCTTCCCCAGCTTACCATCTTAACCACAATAATTATATTATTTATTCTGTTATTAAATTTAAAAAAAAAAACATAATTTTTTTACTTTTGTAACTGTTTTAAATCTTAGATATCACTCAAACATTTTATTTTGAAATTATCGTATTTATTCATGTATAAGGCGCACCCCATTTAAAAAGGATTATAAGGGTAAAAACAGGAAATGATTAGAAGTAAATCGTTTAAGAGAATATATTCGAGAGAGTAGAGAAAATAGTGAAAAGAGAATAAAGAGAGAGAGAGGGTTGTGAGTGAGCTCTTCTCTTTTAAAAACACTGTGTAAATAAATAAATTTCACTTAAATGTAGTTAAATAAATTAAAGTATCTTAAAGTAATTTAAGCATGAACTCGTTCAATTATTTTACATTAACGTCAATGATAATAAATATTTAATTGATTTATTCATTTAATAAATATTTATAGACACTTGAGAATAGATTTTACATATTAAAAAAGATCGAGACTAGCTTGAAAGTTTCTTAATTTTTATTAAGTTTTAATGGTAAATTGGCATATTTAAAGCTTCCATCGAGATTTATTTCACGAAGAATTAAATTAAGTATAAATAAAATGTTTTTAAATTTTAGTAGAGAGCGAAATGTGTAGATACATCAGACTTATAGGGAACAACAGACTACATAGGTTACTCTAGGTTATAGCGAACACACTTATAGAGAATAACTGACTGTATATTAATGTTAATACTTAATTTTTAAAAAATAAATTTATGATTTTGATGAAATATGCATTTACTGCAGTAAAAGAATTGATATTCAAAGAATTGTTTATATTAATTTTTAATTTGTATTCTAATTCAATTATAGTTACTATTATGCCTTTAAATAATTAAAACTATTTAAATCTACATGATGTGAATGTGGGCNATTTATGATTTTGATGAAATATGCATTTACTGCAGTAAAAGAATTGATATTCAGAGAATTGTTTATATTAATTTTTAATTTGTATTCTAATTCAATTATAGTTACTATTATGCCTTTAAATAATTAAAACTATTTAAATCTACATGATGTGAATGTGGGCGAATGAAAATAGAGCCAAATTCTATTCTCTGGGCTTGACAGAATTAAAATGAGGCCCTTCGAACTAGTCACAAATTGACTTGTTTGATGGCTTCATTCTCTCTCTCTACTCTGTATTCTCTTTCTACTCTCTCTACTGTCTCTATTCTCTCTCTGTTCTCTCCTCTCTGTTCTCTACCCTCTCTGTCTCTGCTCTCTCTCTCTCTTTTTCTCTCTCTCTCTTCCTTCTTCCCATAAAAATATCTGAATATTTCATTTATATCACTTTCATATATATATATATATATATTTCATAAAACACTAACTTTTGGGCGATATATGTCCATGAACAGGCCGAATGGGCTGTTGTTCTCCTTCTAAGAGTACTGTACAGATAAAAATATAGGCCTATATACTAAGAAAGAGCCCTAAGCATTTTTTTATATTTATTAAGGTCTAGAGTCCTCCCCATATAAACATGGGAAAAGGAGAAGATAAAGAAGAAGAAGAAGAAGAAGAGTCGTAAAGTACATTTTATTTAGATTTTAATATCTAAATTATCCACGAATTTACAGCCGAATGTGAATTATAAATAAGTAGTCTTTATACTAAATAGCCTACAGATGCTAGGGAAAGGACAGTAATAAGTTATAAAAATCCCCAATTATTTTTCATTGAATTGAATTGAAAATTTTTATTCGGGATTAAATTGGAAATATAATTTTAATATGTTTAGCCAAAATGTAAAAATATAAAGAAAAACATGGCTTTATATTAACAGTTTGTATTTCTCAAGTTACACTTGTCTCGCCCAACTAGTGGTCGAGTGGAAAAACCACTGAACACTGGTAGTTAGTCGCGGGCCAACGTGGAGTTTTTCGGGATTTTTCACGTTTGTAACACATAAATAGGGATTAGTTTCTCATAGAAAGTCCTTCTGGGAGACATAATCGCCCATGTGTCGCGTTGCAGTATACAAATAATAGATTTGCTTCTTTTTTAGACTCTACATAGTTGGGTTAAGGGTTTACATCAAAATCTGTAGGTTACACGTGTGAATTAGCTAGCACAAAGGATAGTGTAACTGTAATTTACGCTAGACTTCCTTTCCGAAATCGATACTATGAGTAGGACTCTAGTGTGAATGGTCTGATTAGACAGAATATTACTTTAAATGCACTGTTTTTTCAGGTATTTTAAAAGTATTTAGGTAAATTAGATCATGTTTAATTAGTGCCTGTAAGAAATAAATTTAAGTTCTTTACAGAAAATACAACATAAACACCATCATTTTTAACATGACAGCATTCTAATTTTAATGTCAACGTTTTATTTTCTACAAACAATTTCAAAATTTAAACATTTTATATAATACAAACTAATGATTACATATCATCTAAAAATTTCAATAACTTTATCGTGGACGGAATTTTACTGTTTAAGGGACGTATTGTGATGAACACAGAAAGTTTTCACAATTATTTATTTTATAGTTAGAATTTAAAAAAAAATAATTAAGCAAATAATAATTTAATTAACTTCAGCGATTAGATAAAATATTACAGTAATAAATCGATTAATCTTTAATTTTAGCTATCGATTAAGCATTTTAAACATTAATCGTTTTAATTCAAACATTATTTTAATCGATATTTTTATTTAAACTACAATATTTCGATATTGAAGTCGAAAATAATTATCAACAAAATAATCAATACATTTTTATTAAACATATTCGGATCTTCACAAAATATATAAAATTAATTAACAACTTAAACAATTTTAACGAAGATTGGTTAAAATGTGGATTATGTTAAGCGTTGATTGGTTAAGGAAGTAGAAGGAAGAGATGTAACTCCGCCTACAGTTTCAAAGAAATTAAATTTAAATCAAGTAATTTATTAACAATTTTAATTTAAATTACTTAAATCTTTTCTCTGTTGAATATTTAAAATTTAATTACATAAAATACAATTGAAATACTTCATTTTAGTTTTAAATTAAAAGCACGAAATAACATATTTTAACTAAGATTAATTCAAAGAGGATTAACTCAAGCAATGATTGGTCGAATAAAATAGAAATTGACAGAAAAGCGACGTGACTCCTCCTTCATTTTCAAAGAAATCGTTATTTTGATGTTTTTATGAAAAATATGGATTAAAAATTGTTTAAATCCTTGATTTAACGGATATTTAGCATATTATTTTCTTTCAGTTTTTAAATTAAAAGATTAAAATTTTAATAGCTATCTATTACAGTTTTATCTTAAGTAATGATTGGATGAAGATTTAGTTTTAAATAAATGTTTAAATTAAACAACTTTCTATTTTTCAAATTTTAATGAAACTTTCTTAAGTTATTGATTTACACGTAAAAATATAGGCTAATGCAATTTATAAGCTTGAAACAGAATTTTCGATGTATTTTTCGTTGAGTCTATGCGTGTGAAAGGAAAACAAAATAAAATAAACAGTAAAATACTCAATTAAATTTGAATTTAACTTCAAATGATTGAATTAATTACTTTGTGAATGGATTTAAAGGGTAAATATAGAATATTCAATAAACATTTTTAAATGCGAAAGTTTAAATGTAGGAGATTAAGTTTATTTGGACGTCTGTAAAGTTTCAGATTCGATCTTAATAAGGATCGAAGATAAGAAGTAGATCGAAATTAACGTTTAAAAAACGACATTTTAATTTAAATTGTTCAATTAATCATTATTAAAACAATTACATTTCAACCAAATCTTCGTTAAAAGGAAACTATTGGCTCTACTCTCTCCATATGATTATGCATTTATTAAAAAATAAAAATAAATAAATGAGATTCGTGAAAAGTTTAGATCTATTTAAAGTATGTATAAGTATCCGAATAACGTTTTTTCTATTTTATTTCATTTCAAAATATTGCATCGTGTAATAGGTACTGAACTATCGGATTTTCAGATAGTGAAAAACAATTTTTAGTTTTCATTTTTTTTTTAAATATAATTTAAGAAAACAATTTGTTGTGTACAAATAACATTTCAATCGTCTTCTTAAGATAACCTTTATAAAAATACAGGATGCCCAAAAGTTAGTTAACCGCGTGTTATCTTTTGTGTACTCAAGAATTCCAGCCGTAAACTGAATTTAGAGCAAAGTTCCTTTATACGACCATATTCACAGTCGTCATAAAAGTTAACCAATAAACGTTTACATACTAAAAATAAGGAGGATGATAATTGGTTAACTTCTAGCTCTAACTTTTAACAGAGTTAGAGACGATTGACAGTTAACACAATTAAGTTTACCGTACTCGGTTAATTAGATTAATTATTCGCAATTTACGCTTTACAGCGGTTGACCGACTTTTGGGCCACCCTGTAGGTGTGTCGCCGAATCCGAACGAGCTTATTACGCAATGCAATATTGTAAAATTCACACGATTCTGTGTCTTTTATGTAAGAGAAGCTGACGAAGCGAATGAGCTTCTTCTCTCAAAGTAGCCACCTGTGCTCGAAGGATGGCGTTTTCTTTTTCTAAAAAGCATGCTCTTAATGCAATTTCGTCTTCTCTGGCTTTTCTGGCATCGCGAGATTTTTTGGCTGCAACATTGTTTCGTTTTCTCCTTTCGTAGTATTTGTCATCTTTAAGTTCATCTGGAATTGGTTTCTTTTCGCTTCTCTGTCGTCTTGGTATAGTCGAAACTAAAGCTCTTGTTATAGCAGGGTTCACTAAAAATTAAAATAATAATAATAATGATAAATAAATTAATTAATTTAACATATTTAAGGTTATATAAATAAAACATTTCAAAAAATTCGTTATGATTTATTAAAATTATGTCTTATTTTTTTAGAGAGAAGAAATACGTTTTTTCTAAGTTGTAAAAACTCGTTATGTAAGCTAAATGGTTTTAGTTTGCATAAGGCCTTAAACAAGCATAGACTAGTGGGGCCTTTCTGATATAAGCGTTCCTCTATAGGCTTACGTACTGTACTGTATATTGTAAAACTCGTATCACACGAGCCTTGGTAGGCGTATTATGCGGACCTAGAATAGACTCTATTTAGTATTGGATTCGGAATTTGAAGGCATACTAAGAATATATTTGTCTATGTTTGAGGGCCTAAAAGTGTCGGATGAGTATTACTGTATCGCTAATGACAAGCATAAGATATAATGAAATATACTAAGTATAGACTAAGAAAATGTTTATATAGTCTAATAGTTTGGATGGAAGCTTGATTAACACAGGATTTTACTTAGCATAATTTTAACAATGAAGTAAATTAAAACGAGCGATTATTTATTACGACATCGTCGTCACAATGCCGGACTTTTTAATCATATTTTTAATAATTTTTTAAATTCAAAATATATGCCTCTTCGCCTCAAATTAGTAGACTATTATTTTGCCCCTGTACTGTACAGTACTGTACTGTACATCATACTTTTCCGTTCATGCCAGTCATCTATCTATCAGGAGATAAACTTTGAATTGTAATAACGTGACTTCCGGTTCAAAACTGCAGTTCATATATAGTTACTTGGGGTTTCATTCCTCCACTCTTTCCATATCTGGTATCGGATTTCATCTATCTAACACCATTGTCGAGATTTAGAAAGGACAGACAGATAGACGGACGACAGTAGGAATTTATAGGTCTACAATTTTTTCAAATTGCAGCCCAATTAATCCAAAATATACATAATACACAAGACGCTGTACGAATGAATAGATAAAGTATAGTCACTATACACAAACATATAGTCTGCATAATAGTTATAGAGGAGACTGGATTGAATAGGGGACAAGATTTTATTAATTTGTATTATAAGATCCGTTAAGGAAAACTTAGATATTTTTATACGAATTGATATTTCAATATATTCGCCAGTATATGCTATATATAACATTAAGAAATATAACAGGTTCCTCCTCCAAAAATAAAAAAAAATTAGATAACTAACCCGTGTGCGATATTCTCCTGTGGCGCGGAATAATAGAAGACAGTAGGTCTAAATGGGCAACGTCAGCCGCTAGAAAGTACGAAAATTCGACAGACAAAATAAATAAGAAAATGAAATATTATTTATTTACATATATACTGTACAAAAAGAGGAAATGAACATCTCAAATATCAAATTACTACAGTTTTGGGTTGCAGACCGTGGCCATAGCAACCCAAAAGTGTAGAGCATTGTAAGAAAAAATAAGCCGCAAAACTATCAACAGTTTTGTTTTTAAATTATATATATTTTCCAGTAATTTTATATAAAAGGAATATTTCATAAATACAGTTAAAGATACATGTTGACCCGCATCTTTATTACTATGGATTTAATTTAAAAATTACTAATATTTAAAATATTATAACATTTTGACAAAGATTATATAAAAATTTGCTCGTTTAATGTAAAAATAAACATTATTCTTTAAAATACTTTTATTTGATCACTTAACAGTATAATTTATGTTCTTAGATTTAGTAGACTATTGCTATACTAATAGAAATTTATTTATTTTTATTCTTTTGTTCTTTTTACCGTAGGCCTAGGGGATATCCATTAATTACAGTACAGTTTTTGAGGCCTGTTGACATCCCCTCTCCTTCACAATGATGTGCTTTTAGTAAGTCCTTTCCCCCCTTTAATTGCGTGTACTGTACTGTACAATAGTTCACGAATCCCCTGACGTTGAAAGAATGAATTTAAAAAGATCTGCAAATATTTTATTTACATCACTAGCAAATAGGCTTATAAGAACAAATTCGCATGCCACTGATACTACTAAAAAAGTCCACGACCCCCTTTTTTCTTAAACTTCACATGTGATACATGGACGGGGCCATATTCAAATTTTGTTGTATTTAATGAATGTTAACTTGTATGAAATTCCAATTTTGGCTGTCTTAGAAAATTATTCCAACTTTATATTCATTAAAGTTAGATTGGAATGGCCCTTTTTAACTTCCTTGCCAAATAATAACGCACGTAGAATAAAAGGCCAACAACGAGTTGCGTTACTTTCCCGAAAAAAATATTAAAAATTGTGTGCGGCACCGTTACGAAACTTTATTTTATATTATTAATTATTATAAAATAGCAAAAAGCTTAATTATAAGAGTGGAGATGAATTTTATTTAAAAAAAAAGAAACATTGTAAATGCTAATAACGAGTACAGTGGGTGATCGGTTAACGAACAGATCGAATAACGAACAAATCGGATAACGAACACTTTCGCGAAAGACTTTTATGTTCGGACAACGAACACATGATCGGATAACGAACACTGCACAGAACGAACACAAGAAGAAGCGACGTAAAATAATGAATACCGATTGGTCTTCTCTTGTCTTCAGGCAACAATTCGAAACTTTTCGGAGTGTGGGAGACGTCGACATCGACGCTCAAGCCGGTATATACCAATCGGATAGTATTCCTCCGAACTTTAAAACTCTCCCTTGTAATTCCAGCCTTTTATTTTTCTGACAAAACAATTCTTTTATGTATTTGCGAGACCGTCGGGTAGGCACAAGTTAAGTTTTGCGTCTGTTTTTCTTTTCGAAAGGTGAGAGTATAATAGCAAAGGTAGAAAGTGGGCAGAAGATGCCTAATGTTGCTGGGCAGTATGGCGTGAACAGGTCTACAGTAGGCCGTAATTCAATCTTATTTAAGAAAAATACTGTATAATCAAGAAGACTCAAGCATCTAAAGGAGTAATAAAAGTCACATCTGAGAAATAAAGAACATCGAAGAGTTCATAATGGAACCTGAAACGGATCTGACGACAAAAGAACGTCAAAAACTCTTGAATGAAGAACACCAAGATACTCGGCGAGATATGTTTTCTTCTGAAAAAGAGGATTAATGCCGATATTTGCCATTAAAGATCTTTTGAAGAAGTGGGAAGATGTCAGAACAACGGTCTTAGAATGGCATCCAAACCAGGTTGAGGCTTGGGGATTTCTACAATTGCAATCCTATTAATTACTTACGAAAAATCCTGAAGAATAGAGAAAAGCAACCGACATTAGACAGATTCTTTAACCCTTTCAAACGGGAAAAAACATGACTAATAAAAACGCAAGACTGTGCATGTATGTATTTTTATTATTACGTATAAATAAACGTAGTAAGAAAGTATATATATTTTTTTTATTTTTGGCGGTCTCCAGAACGAATTAATAAAATTCCCATTAAAACCTATGGTAAATCGATAATCGGTTAACGAACAATTCGGATAGCGAACAAAGTCTTGGAACGGATTATGTTCGTTAACCGATCACCCACTGTACTATACAATCTTCATTAAGTCCGACCCTACTCGAGATACGACACGTAACCGCCACCTATCGCCCCACCCCTTGACCTTTAACCACCAAAATTTCACAGCATTAATGCAACTAATACAACTACCTCCCTGCAAAATTTCAGAAATTTTCGATAAAAGGCACAGGAGTTATTAAGCTTCAAAGTGGGTGAACAAATTACTGTCTCCCACACCCACTGTGTATATACATACATAGTATATACATAGTGGGTTCTTTTAATATAAAACTTTAGGTATTTTTCCGTACACATACAGGAAAAAAACCCTACTCTTTGCATTTCTCGACGTTTAATATGCCCGAGTCTAAAAATCTTGGGGAGGGGAATAAATTGTTTTGACCGATTGCCATTTACTTTCCCTTCGTTATAACAGCCTGGAAAATAAAATGTAGATTATTATTCTTGATTATTGCAGCGAAATTATCAAAAAACTTCACGAATATTTTAAAAAATTAAAATTTTTAAAGTAACCTTAAAGTTTTACATGTATTTGCAACTATTAATTGACACACTGCAGGTTTATATGTCGATACATAAGTTATAGAATGTCGTAAACGTAGCGATTTATTGCACGAACAATTTTTAAACATTATCGGATTACTTAGTATCAAGCTCAGATCTATTGTTTGATATAACAAAATTCAATGTTTGTCAAACAACAAGTCATTATGAACTTCTAAAAGTCTATAATGCTTTAACAATTACTTTCCATCTACTTTCACACGTGGTAATAACCTCACGATAGTACTTAATGGAAAAATCATGTTTGATAATCTAGTAATTCAAACAAGAGGGAAATAATGCGAAATTTCCACGAAAACACGTGACCGGCGATAACGTCAAATTTTACAAGCACATAAAAGGGTATTATTATGAAAAGGCTTTAACTTTACGTGTAAATTATGATCCCTTTTTAAAAAACTTTGTTTCATTTTTAAGGTATTTTTTAAAATATTTTATTGCAAGTTTTAATGTGAATAATATGAATTAAACTTAACATAAAAAGGCACAAATATTTAACAAATTTATTTAAAAAAAACAATCAGTGTAGGCTTATATTATTATGAAATCGCCACATTGCCTGGTTGCAATTTTTAATCATATTTTAATGCAAAATATCACGTGAATTCCGGCTTAGACCGGAAGTACGTATATAGCTAATCGGAGCTCCGGCCCCTAAGGTTTCAATACCGGGTCTCGATTTTCATCTGTCTAATTCCGTTCTCGAGATTAACGAACGGACAGACGGACGGATGTGGGAATGTATAGATCTGTGATTTGAAAATTGAAGTACAGTAAGAAAATGATGGTAAAAAATAGAACTTAAGAGAAAACAATGGCGAAAATATCTTGTAAGCATGATTTTGATGTCATTATAGCCCTATATCGTCAGGTGTA